CCCCGGCCACACATATAAACCATACGGCTCCGATTTTGGACTCCCCGGCTGGTAGTGGTTAAATGACGTTTTGCTCTTAGACTAGTCTTGGTCCAAGACCTTCCAGTAGTTCATTCTGTGACACGAACCACCACCCGACTAATTGCTACACAGGAAGGTCTTTAGAATTTGTTTGATCAGGGATGGCAATAATGGTAGGATATGCATTATTCATATCACTTGAGTGATGATTGGCAGAAGTTATGCAAATAACTTTCACCATGCTTGATGTTCATGAACGACTTTTTCTGTGACTGAAATATCAGCCAACATAATGTAGAACATTTTTCTTTTTTTCAGACGTTCAGAGTTAACGCTAACAAATATCCTTCAACAGTCCGGGGCAGCAGCCAAGACCTTGCAAAGAACGCAGTTATATCTCTCTCCGACTTGCATGAAGTTTCAACCCATGTCCAGTGTAGACAATGCTTGAACACTTGTCCTTTCTACCTTTATGTTTCTCTCCTGAGTCACACAGGAAGTGCAACCATCCAACGAAATTGACTTGGTTGGCACTGAATATTGTGGAACTTTGTCAGGGGAACATTGTGGTGAAAGGAATTGACCCTTGTGCCTTTGTGGTTTGTATGAGACTTACCACTCACATGAATAACTTCACTGGTTTATGTCTCTGACCAAATCTTCTGATCTCCCCAAGTGGACATTGTAAGGGTAACTTCACTAGGGACCAGTGTACTAGTATGGACAGATCGCATCTGGATAGAATTTCCTCTGTGAGAAAAATCCAAGTTCACAGGTACATGTACATGGTACCCAGCACTGGAAGCTAACATCTACCCAGTGTCTCTATAAAATGTCTAGAAACCATACCTAGCTTTCAGGGAACACAACTTTTCCAGATTTACTTTGCAGGTTTCTAAAAAGCATTGGAAACTCTTTTGAATCTGGAGATTTGGTCCTCACAAGGAGATGATGGCTCAGTATCCCCACCCTCATTGAACGTGACGGTGTTTGCCACAGGAACCCTGCTGATTCAACACAACAACAACAACAATTGACTGCATCATGTATCTGGCCAATCGGAAAAGTGTGCGCGTTGCTCACATTAGCCGTATCTGACGGCAGGAACAGAATGCCCCACTGCTGAGATTAACCAAAAGCAACAAACTTTCCTGTTGTGATAAAGTTGTTGGATTAAAGCTCCTTCCTGTGACTAGTCAGTTAAGTTTTGCTCCCTTCCTTGTGCCTGTACAGCTAGCCCATGTGGCAGAAGTCTCTGGAGTCATCTTCTGTGGGTATTCCTTGCCCTCCAAGAAGTCTGGTTTTGTTTTTTTGTTTTTTTTTTGTGGGAAACACAGGGCTAGCAGTTGGACCCTCTACCACTCTCCACTTCATTTTACTGTGGTCCCTTCAGCATATTTATGTATTTCTGTTTATCCAACAGCGCATGTGGTGCGGTTAAGAAGACAGTGAAGAAATGTTCAGTTTTTAGAGGTGGGAGGAAAACCCCTGATAATACACCGGGGAGAACCCACGGAATCAGGCACCAACTGAGAACCCAATCCACCTGCTGACCTACCTGTGGGTGGGAACCCAGACCGCAGAGGTGGAAAGCAAGTTAAGAGCCATTACACCAGCCTGACTCCCCGTACATGTATATACCTACAGAGCAACCTCTTGCACAGTTACATGGAATGTATTAAAGGGTGAAACGTTTCTTTTAGAATAGTGTTCAGAGCACGAGGGTAATTCTCTAGGTTAACCCTAACACTCCTCAGTCCTCCAACAGGTGAAGGATTGAGGAGGGTTAGGGTTAAACCCCAAAATATCTAGAAATGAATGATGAATATACAAATTGCATTTACCATATTTCATCACGTTTGTTTTGACATGATAGGCAAACATGTTGGGAAGGGAGAAGAGATGTGAGAGGCCATTTGTAAGGAGTGTTAATCAGGAATAATGAAATGTAACTTGTGACTTCCACTAAGTTGCATCTTGAGAAAGAATTTGTTTGAGTGGCAAGTGTCGGGGCGTCTCCTCCAGGTGTCAAAAATTAACGGGCCGAGGAAGTCAGAAATTGGAAAGGTGGGAATTGCGGCACCAGAGGTGTCAGATTCTAAGTCAAGACGGAAACGCCATTGTTAAAAGCTGGCTGTATTAAGCAGAAACCTACACATGCCAGAGAAAAATACAAGGGTGGTAATTGAAGAAAATTGGATGGGTGCTGGAGAATTAATTCGTTCAGGAATTTGAGAATGTCCTTTTCAATTTTCAAATCCCTTTTGGCCGATTTCAAGGTGAGTAGTTGTTATTTTTTGTGCCTGGAATTGCGGCGAGGGGTGAAAGGGCAAAATTGCAGTAATCAAGTTGTCCTTGAGGTTGTTAACTTAGGCTTGGTGCAAAGTTGCCCCGACCATAATGACATCAGGAAGGGGCTGCAGTTAGAGACTTAACATCCTTAGCCCCACCGGAGGTGTCAACTCCAGATTGTGCAAAGCATACAATATTCCTATTAAATTGCTGATGGGATGTGAAGCATGTTTAACGCTTTTTCCAGGTGTTGGAAAGTGATGAATCAACCGTGTCCATTTCGTGAAAATTGCACCTGATGCCGTTTTCTTCACATTTGAAGTGATCTCTTAAAAGTTGGTGACTAGATGTGGTATAATTTAATTGTCCTAGTAAAGCACATGCGCTTGGTTTGATCTGCTTACCATCTGTACCTAATGAAGTAATTGACGGGCCAAACGAAAAGAGTACTTGCTTCGCAGTATTTTTCCCCCTCTCTCTCGAATTTGGCTTTATTCCCCAATGCGTGAACATGGTAATCCGTGAAGGATGTATTCATCAGGCCTGGCTAGGATCTGACGAAGGTCAACACTGCTGGATTTACCGGAGAGCTCAACTGAAATGGGAAAAAGCATGCACATGTAAAAAAAAACCAAGAACTTGCTTCCATTTAAAGTTTATGTGTACATACATGTGTTTTTAAATTCAGTTCTCACATGTAAGTGTGCTGACTAGCCAACTATATATTAACAGCCAGAATTTGTGCATATCGCACGTTACATGTCTTACATCATTAACAATCCTGCCTGAAAGCAAGGATTTTAAAATCACTACTGTGCAAGCATTTAAATTTTATCGGAAGCTATATACTGGTCAAATTATTGACTGTCGTTGTGACATGCTGCTGTTCTCTTATTTTAGCCTTTAATACATCCTTTTCTAAATGGAAGTGTATGTTTTCAGGTCTTTAGGTTTGTAGAACATCTGCTAAAGAATTCAACTGATATTTGTTTCCATGATAATAATATCAATTGTTGACCGACTTTCCCTTTGAGAAATGCTACACAAATGTATGATTTTCTTTTCTTTTGCAAAGTTCCCTGTGTATGGCACATGTATTTCCAACTGCTTTTTGATTTAATTAACCGCAAATGTTTCTGCACTGACAAAAATTCTGATTTGACAGTTTATCAGTCCATTAATGCGATTTTACTGGAATGTTTGTTTTTGTCTCTTTTTATCCTGTCTTCACCGCACCTACTTAAATACCTAATTCCGTCTTGGAACTTGCATGGTGTAGACCATTACAAGCAAGCTACAAGTAAGTTTGAGGGTTTCTATTATTGCTGTTTAATCTCCAAGCATTCTCTTTCCTTACGCCTCTTTGTGATCTCATACTTTGCCACATCTGTCTGCTGCTTTCATCTGCTTGGGCCCTTATTACCCAGACTTGAAGGGAATTACATCAGTTGGTTTCTTTCCGAATGAGACAGTTTCTTTCTGTCCTTACCCACTTCTGTGGTAGGAACCATTTTACTGAAGCATTTTACCTACATGTTCGTGATACATATAGATAAATTTAGTACATGTAGTGTGTGTGCATGTGAACTTCCTTAACAGCCACTGATTCTCTAGTTATGGTGAAATGTTGATCTAAAAAATACTTGCGTGGGTTATACTTTGAAAAGATTTTATTATTGGATTGATGGGTTAATTCCGTTTTCAAACATCAAGCAAATCCTGGAAAGAATGAAATGTGTATACAACCACCAACTACGGGCCCAGCCATGCCATTTATTTGTACTGTGCATATCGGTACCTGCAGACTCTTTATACATTTTGGTCTCTGCCCACTGAGCCAAGCAACAATCATACAAACGATTTCAACTTCAAGGGAGAATAGACCTATGTTTCGGTGCAATTTTCAGATGCTGCTAGGTTAATCAACCACAGTAACCCTCCCTGACCTAAGTAGTCGTTTATAAGTGAAGAAATGCAAGTGGGGGTGAAGTGACATGCCCAAGATCACAACGTTATACCCCATCGTAGGATTCAAGCCCTGAACCCATTGGGAGAATAAAAAGCCTGACCACTAGGCCACACAAGGGACCAAGGTTAAGGGTACATGCCTTCACAATACGAAGAGTGTTTGAAATCACGGAAAAATTCTAGTTCAGATGCCGCCGGACAAGCTAAGCTCCAATCATATTTGGTGGAGTACGGGGCATGTTTCTCAGAATGTTTGATAAATGACTGACCAGTAGCACGGTTCCTGTGGTCATGGAAAATCCTGGAAAAAAGTTGTCCTGGAAAATCAGTGGAAGGGTCATGGAAAATGTAGGAAAACATAGGGTGTCCTGTAATCTGGAACACGTAGAGTCCATGTACAACTACAGTAAATCAGTACAGTAATTACAAGGACATGCCATGCAAAAATGAAAAAAAAATCGGGGGGGGGTAATATTTCCCTTCAAACAAAGGCACAGGGTTGTCCCTTTGTGGTGACGAAAAATTAGGTTCAAATGAGTTTTGCCAGTCAGATTTTTGTGATTTGAAATGACACCACGGAATTGTTGTCATCAGATAACGTGATCGATATCACTCAAAGAAGAAAAAAGTATGATTTGGTTCCCTCCGTGAATATGATATGTATGTCTTATTCCTGACTGTATGGACCATTTTGTCTGGAAACTTTACAAATCCGCCCAAATCTAACACAGTGTAGTAAGCCCTTAAGATAGCATATCAAACCAAATTTAGCACAATAGTTGCATGGCTTTGCAGATCTGCATTGATCACACTACCTGCAAAACCCCAAATTGGATATTGGTGCATATAGTTCAGGGTTACAATTTCAATTTCCTTAACCACTTTTATCATTATATGACATTTTGTAGTTAGTTGAATAGTTTCAATTAAAACTCATTTCCCCTCGCTCAGCAAAAAACAGGAGAAAAATAGCGTGTAGTCACAGAGTAGAAAGATGTTCCACTGTTTCAGTTTGTATCATTGACATTTTGTGCATGTTCATCACACAGTTTTTCCGAGACTAATGCCAGGTACATGTAGCTGTCAGCACAAGGTATCCGACTTTCCCCACAGCATGATTTATGTGTTTCTCAAAAGTCCCAGCTTCCGTGCACGACTTTCTTTGCCTTGTCTGTGTTTTGTCAGAATGCTTACGTTTTGGGGTAAGGGGGCGAATGAAAAAGAAAAAAATTGCAAGGCTTAATCTGTGGGAAACATGATACTCGGCGATAATACATTTACCCAGCTGGAACTTAATACTCAGATACCTTCCTCTTGGTTATTCGTTACTGCTTAATAAGGTTACCGCCTGACATGGGTACCAATAAATACCAAGGTGACTAACATTGTAACTTCTGTGGTCAGTTGGATGTATGTACATATTTGTATCACACACTGTACATGTACATGTTGGTGCACCTGTCTTCTCATACATGTACATTGTTATCAAATCCTCAAAAGCTGGGAACACTCCTAGTGTACTCTAACTCAGAGATAAAGAGTCTTAAATATTTGAAACACAAAATGACCCAATTTAAATGGTCCATGTTGACATTGTTACTTGTAAAGAAGTGTTTTGCAAGTTTACATTTGAATAAAATCTGGTACACTGAGTTCTTTAAATTCACGTGAACATAACAATTTTGAAATCTCCGTACTAAAGACACTGTTGCTGTACCTCGTGATTTGGGGCAAGGTTTTGCTTATATTTAGTTACATGAGAGACGCCTTGCACCAAAACACTGTACATGGTTTTCAATGGATGAGAAGGGCACCAAAGTACACCAGTCCATTCCAGAGGTGGTGGTTGCTATGCCATAGCAACAGTGTCTTTAGTCTGGACACTTCATATTGCTATGTTTATTTGCAATCAGATAACTAAGTGTACCAGCTTTAGTCAAATTTAACTTGCCAAAGGCTCGTTGGGTTCAAACTTAAAAAGGCACCAAGATGTCCTTAAAATGGATCAACATGGATCAAATTGCAAATGCATGAAATTGGATGCAAGGAGTATGTACAAGACCCTGTTGTAGTCAAGACCACATAAGACCTGATCAAGACCAGCCCAAGACCTCCAGTCTGAATTCAAGCCACTGCTATTCAAATGGACCATAACGGAAGCATTCCTTTGTCATTGTTCACCCTGTTACTTGTGCCTGGTCTTGTGCCTGGTCTTGTGATGGTCTTGACTACAACACTGGTACAAGAACTGTTTTGAAAAGTAAATTGTGCAAGCTCTTTCAAACTTCGTGTCTGTTAAACAGTGGCACAAGTGGAGGAATCCACTGATACACTTTCTGTTTGCTTAGCACATGTGCCTTTGCAAGATACTGCCATCCAGGGGTATTGTGTTTCAAGTGACAATGCCAACAGGATTTCTTGAAAACTGTCCAAGGAGGAAACAGTGGCTTCACCGTGAGGGGGTCCCTGAGTCACCGTTTCTCCCATGATTACAATGGCTAAATTTGACTGCCATGGGGCAACTGTAGTCAGGAAGTGGAATAAAGGGTTGACTAATAATGCACCGTTAACTCACTCTCTAGACCAGTTAGATTAACGGGATTCTCAGACTTGCTCTCACCATTGCTTGGCTCACGCTTTTTATTCATCTTTCAGAGTGCTTCAGTTTGATAGACAATTCTTTGCTTGAGATAGCGCAGGGCTTTTCGCAGATGTTGTCTTCCAAAGTGTAACGGCCAACCCCGGGAGGCTGGTCGGTAGAGCAGTTGAGAAAGATATTCCTGAAGTCTTAGATGCTTTCTGTGGATGGTCCTGTAATAGCCGAAGATTGGTTCCTTCAGGAACAGTTGTGTGGTCTTCTCATGAGAGCCAGTGTGTGCAGACTCAGTGTCCACATTCAAAGACGTTGCCAAGCATATGTGCCATCAGTTTTCATCAGAATGTGCACAAGTATGTTCTGTCTTCACCTGGGCAGTGGACATGCCCAGTAGCCTCGCCTTTCAATTTCCTGTCACATTAATCTCTTTTCCATGTTTGGGGCAATGAGCTTTGAGGAAGGTAGCTTTTGGGGTATGAACGATCTCAAATGGACAAAACCCCATGTATTTTAGGCTCCAGTTTTGGCAAAGTTAAATTTTTCTGTGCTGGACTACGTAAAAAAACATCATTTGTTTGACAGAGTTTGTTGTGGAATTACGGTGCATTTGGAGACGTTGGCATAGCAACCAGCAAAGATGGCAGCCACTTGCTTTGAGGTTGTCATGTGATGCAAATTGGCTCGATTGGTTCCTATGCCATACCGATCCTTATCCATCATTAGGGACCCTACCGGTACTTCTCAGTTCGATGCTGGAGTAAATCTTAATAGTGCTGGAAAGTTTATATTTCAATGATCGGGTATGGGGGAGGGTGTGCCAAACATTGCTATTGAGTTCCACTAGCGGTAATGTCTCTATTTTTAAAAAAGTTTTCAAGTAATATGCACATAATTCCTGCCAATGACTTTTGGATGTAGAGACGGTCATAGAAATTCTTATTTTGAAAGGTCATCTGATTAAGGCCTAATGTGAACTTACCAGTGAAGTACTGAATTTAGAGCGATAATTTAGAGCGAGAGAAAAATCAACTTTACAGTTTATTACACGATTCATTAAAAACCCCATGTTGGATAAGCATGGAATTTGTACGAGGCTGTTTTATGGTTAAAAAGGCTTCCACGTTGCTGCACACATTCAAAAAAGTTCCACTTAAGCATTTGACGACCCCCCCCCGAAAAATCTTGGCTCAGGGAAGGATTTCTAAATACTGAATTACCTACAAGAAGGAAAGGTACTACGGTGCGTAATTACCCTAAAGAGTTTTGATATGTGCTCGGCTTAGTTTTGGTGGGATATGCGACAATCTCATTAAGGTAGGGGAGCACAGCTTAGTCTTCTAAACACTACTTTTTAACCCTAATGTTGAGCATACAATACTTGTTGGCCCAGGGGAGAACCAGAGGACCGGGTACATGTATGTGATGTAAGTGGGTCTGTAGGAAGTTAGCGATGATTGATTGGTGGCAGGGGAGAGCTGTCAGGACCAGATGCAGGGGTACTCAGGTTAGCTTGTCAATGCCCCCTCCCCATTCCATTTATCTCTTCCTGGCAGGGGGGAAGATCAATGGTGCTGCGGAGGGGGGGGTTGTTACATCATGCGGGAGGGGGGGGGAGGGGACTCGTGTGGGCCTGAAGGTGTGGATGCTTTCTGGTTCAGTACCACACCCAACAGGGCCACATGTTGAAGGATACACCTCTCCCGATCGCACCCTACCACTACAGGTCTGTTGGCGACTGAGCGGTTCATGACATTACCTGTGTCTCCCAACTCACGACATGCAGAAGGATGTCTCAAATGGAGACGTGCTTCGAATGTCAGAAGCCACAGGGAACATGGGTTTCCATCCTATTCAAATTTTTCCCACACTCCCAGCATCATCTTTAAACATCCAAGTATTTTTTGAATTTTTTTTTAAAGGGTGAATACTGTTATAAAAACGTAGGGTTTTGTGATGCCTTTCAGAGCACAGGAAAGGAGGCCACACCCATTTGGATCTGAGCCTAACAGTAACAGATTTTTCTGACACTTTGCATGTCTTGAGACTCATTCAAGTTTTACTTGGAGTAGACAAACAATTTGTCATCAGCACTTCATCTATGCATGGTGAATGAAAAATGCCAGGTTTTGCAAAATGGAACATTACTCGAGAGTGACGCGCCAAACATTTATGAAGACTGTGTGACACATACATGGACGAATTCACATAAAATCAGTACTGAACAAACTCGGTGAGGTGTTTGGGGGGAAAAAAGAACAGTCAGGCGAGGGGTCAAGGAGGGTGGAAATAGGGTAAAGCACTGAACTTGGGTTTGTTTGGAAGGACTTGTGTTTTGTCTGTTTTAGTTAGGACTTGGTCCAGGTGGGTAGGCCTTTCCTGCGTTGAGGGGACAGTTTCTGTGAGGAAAGTAGGAACTGTGTTGTGGGGACCAAAAGTTATCTGTCGGTATTACTCGGTGACTTGTACACTTGAGTGTACATGGGCATACATTCACAGTGAAGGTTGTTGGCTGTGGGGCCTCATCTTGAACATTATCAGACTGTCGGAGCAGAGAGCCGCACTTTCCCTGCCAGTTTATGATAGTCCTGTTTACAGTCTGTTGCTATGATAACTGTGTGGATCCCATTGATAATGCATCCTTCATTGAAAGGACTTTACCTTGGATTAACCCTTTATTTGTCTTTGCCTTTCCCTCTTGAAATCTGACGTGGCTTTCCTGACCTGTTTCTGGATTGTTGCTCAGCTATTTTAAGAGTTCACGTTTTCTAAGAATCTCTGAATCTCTACTTGGATCGATTAAGTAAAAAAAAAAAAATGAAGAGCAGGCCTTTTGTTAGCCTTTCCTCAAGTGGCTACTCGTGACTTTTGGGTTGCCAACACTGTTGTTGTTGTTTTTTTCTATTGTGGTGGATTTCTTTTGGATGATGCTAACCGGGCGAGTTTTGCCATGACCCCCCTGCCCTTTTTCCTGAGCAGGTCCTGGGGTCACGACCCTTACACCACTCAGCTATTGTTTTTACTCTGGCTTCCTGCCTGGCATCTGCACAATGCATCCCGTCAACCCGCCACCTGTCAGCTTGCTCTTAAACTGTCATGATGCAGCAGTTACATCTGGGTTACACCTGCGGGCGCCTTCTCCACCAGGAAGACGGGCCGCTGCTTTGTTGTTGTAGCGCCATGGCAACTCGCACATCACAGCAGCTGGCCAGTCCTCATTAACCCTGATCCCATCCCCACCCCCCTAACTTCAGGAATCTTCTGGAGATCTAACACATTGGCACGGCTTTTCTACTTGAAACAGAATCAGCACGTTAAGCCGAATGCTATCGAGGCCAAGCCCTGCAGCTCCAAACCTATCAGAATCCTGCAAAATCAATTGTGACCCACCATCCCAAAAGCAGGCTGAAGTTTGTAACTTCATAACCCTGAAGTAGTGGAACTTCCACTCTTCATATTTTCATGGGAGTTTTACAGCTATTACTACCCGTAAGAAGCTCACTGCAGACAGAATTTCAATTTAACATGGATCACTTTGAAGTGTAAAAAAAAAAAAGCTGAGGGAGAGGAATTGTCCAACATCACGAATACCGACTTCAGCCTGGTTTGGGGATGGTGGGTCACAATTGTTTATTTTGGAGGACTTTGGTGGTAGGCATGATATTTATGTATCTTCTTCAAGCATAGCTGTGTTTTAACCTTGTCTACAGTCATCGTAGAGATCTAGTTTGCTTTTTATAAAATAGCATTAATTCTTTGCTGGTGTCAACATGGTTAAATATCAGTTATCAAAAGGTTCTTGATTATGACAATACTAGCTTACCTGGATTGAGTCCAACTGACCTGTTGTACTAAACAGTAATGTCTGTGGACTTTTATACGTGTTGCTTTCTGCTTCATTTGTCCAATGTACTCGTCTGTATCGGGGGCGGGTCTTTTGTGTTCAGTATTTTCCCAAAAAAATCTCTCTTTGGCTTTGTTGACCGACGATTGCTCTTTTTTTTTAGGAACTCCTTGTACATGTAACTTATTGGTGCCTTGTGTAATCTGTCCCTGCTTATAGAAACAAGAAAAAAATCTTCTCATGCTCTGGCTTTTCCTCACTTGCCGTGTCAGCTTACTGTATACAGATATTTCAGAAATGACTTTGCTTTTACCTCAAAGCTTATTTCCCTTTTCCTCCATTTTATAAGCGTGTGGAGCTTCATCTCTGCTTGTTCGTGCTGCTGTTCCTCATACATAAATATCAGATTTTAAGTGAGTTTGTTTGGTCTGAATAAGTGGATCTGGTGTGAGGAATAAGCAACATACTGCCCAGAGCATGTCATTTGACAAGCTTAGGTAAATTTCCAGAACCTTTGCTCTGCTTTTGGAGTCTGATAATCCCATAATTTTTGACATGCTCATATTTATGTATTTTTACAGCTGGTAAGTTTGTCAGAGTTTGTTGTGTACTTAAATGAGTTGTTTCAATTTCCTGCCTCTTTCGCTGAGCACTAGAATAAAATACAATTCAAGGGGTTCATTTTACCAGTTTGAATTAAACATTAACATTGCAACACATGTATAACTATATGCTTTGCTCATGCCAATTTTTAAATCAGCATTTTTGAATGTCAGTTTTTTTATATGATTAGAAGAGCTGTCAAAGGGTTTGTCTGTGAGTTCAATGTCTAAGATTGTGTGCTGATTCACATGTAAAAACTAAGCTTGGATGTTGAAGGGCACTAACACATACAATATAAGGAAGCCTTTGTATCATGGCTTGCTTTTTTCTTTTTTTTACTGTGTTTTGTGTCATATCTTTGCTTCAAAACAAAGACGTAACAAAACTTTTTCTCTGGAGTGATAGGGCTGTACTCTGATTTTCTTCTGCGTAGTATTCTGATTTCCAAGTCAATATTTCGGGGTTTGTTTGGTCTCATTTTAAGATCCTTTTTTTTTCCTTGTCGCATTTTTATACAGGTGCTGCAGTCAGCCAGGGATCAGTTAAAGTGGTCGCTATTGAAGTAACCACTCTCAAGCTGTACTCAGACACGCCCTTAAGAGGAGGGTTGCCTTGGAAATGGTGAAGGGCCATATTTATGCGATGTAGCTTTTAAGGAAAGGACAGAAGTCCCTGTAACGGTGCACTGTGGGCTTGCCAGTCATGAAGTATTTTTTTTTTGTCTAGTGTCATTGTTCCAAGAACAATAGATGAGGTCATCAGTGACTTTGCACTCCAGGTCTGAATGCAGCTGTTGTTGCAAATGAAAAAGTGCATTCTGGGATGCCAGAACAATAAATCATTGTCACACTTGCTAGCTGCTTCAAACACTTCACATAGTTTCCTTGGTCTCTGACTCTACATGCTGCATGACTTGCTCATGTGCAGCCAACTTGTCAGGATTTCTGTCCTTTCCGTTGTACTTTTCATGTATAGATTGTCACAAACCAGCCATTTTTGGTTTCCTTATTTTTCACACCTCTGTTTTTTCCTCTGGCATGGACAGAGCTTCTTCTAACCCTAGACCATGGCCAATCCCACAAGATTCTGTACGATTCACACTGAACCTTGGAGGTATGGGGCTACAGGCTTGAATGTTTTAAACTGTGAAAGTGCACCAAACCTTTGTTTCATTTTTCTGTGATACCATTTATTAATAATAATAATTAAAAGAGGAGCTCATGAGACACTACTCCATACTTCTGGAGACACAGTCCCAGTTTAATACAGAGGATTGTAGAAAAGTGTAGGCCTGATAGACCACCTGTGTGGTTGTGCAGGAACAGAATCTCTAGGCTCGGGTTCAAAAGTCAATTTCTTGGCTCAATGTGCCTCCATTTACTGCCAAGGATATGCATCACACCATTCAGTGTGGGACCAACGTTGTGGTATTTTCATTTTGGTTGCAACAGCAGCAGAAAATAGCTGCAGATGATTTGACATCATGAATGAACTCCAATCTGGTGGTGTTTGGACAATGCGGCCAGTGTTCCTGAGGGAAAAAAAGGGGTCTTGCTCCCCCTTTAGCACTCTTAAAGCACTTGGCCAAGATGGCTGCTCCTGTGAACATTGTCTGGTATGGGTGTGTGGGAGTTTGTTTGTGCATTCAATTGGGGACTCTGAACAATAGAGGACAATAAGGTCCCCGATTGACAGAGGGTCCCTGATTTAGGGGTCCCCGATGTGTGTGTTAGGGATTTAAGGTGAATCTGCGTGTGCGTGGTGAGACCCCCCAAAAAAGAGAGCACTCCCATATGGGTCACCCAAATCTCAAGTGGTTTGACAGACACAATCACGGTGTGAACAGTCAATCATAGAATTTGTTACCCACAGCCAGCCTGGGTGCAGTATTGTTTATACATGTACATTTAGTCGAACCAATCCCTTATTTGGCAAGAGTCTGGTTGTTTGGAACTGCTTAACCCATTTCCCAGTATAGAAGGTACAAAGTTTATCACGATGTAAAGAAAATAAAAAATCTGCCAGCAGAAACTGAGAAAATTTGGTTTTCGTTAGAATACGCCGTGATAATAAGGTGCCGTGTCCATAAAGTGGAATGATAGGGTCGGACAAATGATCCAATATTAGCTGGTATCAAAGCCAGCCTCATGTTTGTGTTTAGTGTCAAACTTTAATGTATGTGCCCAGTTCTGACTTCATTTAAAATGTCACTTTCATGTAATACCCCAAATTCCTAGATGTCCCGCTTCTTCATTTTTCATTTCATTTTCAGTATCTTTATTTGCAAACCCTTTTTTGTATATCATTGTTGAATTTTTCATTCCTACTGTGACTTGTTCAAGTACCAGGCATCTGAAGCTTGACTAGTTGAATTTGCCTAACGTTGTATTTCACGGTCAGGCGTTAGCCTTTGCCTAACTGTACATCACATAGTAACTTGACAAGTTTGAATTTGCCTAACTTTGTTTATAGTCAGGCATAAGGCTTTGCCTAACTTTGTATCAGATAGTATTTTCCTAACTTTGTGTTCACAGGTAGCAGGTTCTTTTCCCCCATCTGTACGCCCTTTACTTAAAGTGTTCATGTTCATGTTGAGAATGTTGTGAAATTGAGTTTTTTTGTGTCGTAAGGAAGAAATCAAAATCTTGTTCTTGTAAAAATGTAACGGAAAAGATGATCTTTGTAAGCTACACCCTTTGGACTGGGTTTGTAACTTGAAAAAATAAAACAGTAGTAAAGCAAAACACTGCATGAGCTATTTTTGGTAATTACGTGTCTCGTGTAGGCCTATTGGGTTTGTTATTGTCTGGGCAGACATTTTGGATGTAAAGGTCAGATCTTTTATTTGATACACATTCACATATTTCTCTAGAAACTGTTTTTATAAAGCAAGAAGTGACCTCTTATTTATTCTCCGGTAGTCCTGGAATGTTTTTGGGGGGCTTTTCAGGCATGTCTTCTGTGTAAATTTACACGGTCTACGCAGAAGTTACAGTTAATTTGTTTTCAATTTGGAAACAAATTGTGCATCCCTGTGTATCCCCTCAAAAGTTTCTCCCGAGTTTCGTCACTCCGCGTGAGCAAAAATCTGGTTTCGAAAATGTTGCACCCTAAAATTCCTCTGATGAACAAGAATCCAGCAAGTCTTTCAGCTCTTTCGTTCTTTCATCTTTATGTCCTCTGTCGGGTTGTGCTGATTTTGGTCAGTATGATGGTGTCCTGGCCCATGAGTTTGCTTCGCAGTCTAAAGGTAATGGCACTCGATGACGCCAGTCCTGGATTATTACTAAGTATTTCTGAAAACTATTTTCAAGGATGGATTTCTGAAAAACGATTCACTTCTACCTTATAACGATACCATGCTTTTCTCGCAAATACATAGTTTGCCACATTAATTTAAAGCTTACAGATTTTGAAGTACTCCACTGGGTTTTTCGATCCCGGGTTCATAAATCATGAGGGCGCTCTGTACATTTAACAGTCTTGGTCTATTTCACCGCCCTCTGAAGTGACAGGGTGGCGCTGCACACAACCAATGGTCCATAATTGGCCGAAAACAAATTTCCCTGCAAACCTCCCATTTCTCTGCAAACAACGATCAGGAATTGGAGACTAAATGATTGCGCAACTGAAACCCCTCATTTGCTGTGTAAAGGAATTGAGACTCATTCAAGCAAGCACGTGCGCTGTGAACCTGGTAAAAACTATCACTTGAAAATTGTGGAATGCTCATGATATGGTTCATCTTCATCTTCAACTTCAGAGGGAATTCTTCCCGTCAGATTTTATTCTTTTCCTTTTCCTTTGCTGTTTATGCAAATCACATCTCCACATTAATGAAGAAAACTGTGATGTCATTCAGGAAGACGACCTTCATTTCAAATTTATTTATTCAACAAAAAATTGATGGATTTAAAAATAATTTTCTGGCCTAAATTCCCTATTTTCGTTGGGAAATCATTTTTGTAAGTGCACGGGAAGAAGCCATCAAAGAACCCCTTTCCAGCAGTGTTCTCGGTGAGCAAATGTTTAGTGTACAATTATAATTCAAATCTGTATAAATCGCGTCCCTCGCGTGAGTTTTCAACTTGTTATCTTGACGCCTCTAGCAGTTCGGTTTTTCGCCCAAAGAGTGCAAGCAGAAACCAGATAGTCAAGTTGTTCTTCGGAAACGATAAGGTTTGATACCTTATTGTCATGTCTATCTTGAAACCTACAGCAATTCATTCCCAGCGGACGCAGTGACATTTATTCGTAAAAATAATGATGATAATATTGTTTATATTTATAGAGGAAAAATTCGCCATAACATGACAGTGGAAAAAATACATAAACTGTTGAACATGTTTCCAAGGTAATCGGTTTGCCCTCAGGCAAAATCGCGAAGGCTCCAATTTGGGCGCTCCGTTCAGGGCCAATTAAATCAACCAGGAATTTTATAAGCTGGCGTGTGATGGGAATGCCAGCCTCATTTTCACTGCACACGCCCAAAATGAAGTTGGCCCTGTCAACCTTGTTGATGTTTGCCCAAGCTTACAGCCAAGGTAAGACTTGAAACTTGTACCGGTAGATTGAAGTTGGCAACCATACAAGAAACAAACTTGGTTCCTTCTTTCTTTTTCATTTCAAAACAAAGGTTAAACGGTCAGAGATGTTTCTGTCATTTTTCTCCACCTTTTTCCATTCCCATGTCTCCAGTGCACCTGGGTTGGACCGGTAGCAACATGAAGACCCTACATTTCGGCCGCGTCCCACCGCTGGCGGCAGGGGAAGCATTCGACAGGCGTCAGTGGCTGAAATCAGCTATGCCTAGCAGAGAGGATCGATGCCAGAAGATTGGTGATCCAAAAGGTGAGCAGTGGAACACCCAGGCTCTGGGTAGGGTCCGGGGACAAAATGGAGAATTATTCTTTTGCTAAAAGCGACGGTCCAATTTCTGTTTTGAAGTGTCAGCGCTTTCAAGAAAAAACAACCCCCCCCCAAAAAAAAACCGGGGGGGGGGGGCTACGTACACCATGGGGTTTCAAACTTGCATGCATTACCGGTATCAGAAAAGTATGGGGTGGGGACATTTGTCAGTGATACAATAGACCCCATTTTGTCAGAGGGGCTAAGTGGGTTTAGTCGCAGTGCTGCCACAATACGAAACTCTTTTTTGTCCTTTCCAAATCCCCAGCGAGGAAGAGGATGTAGAATTAACTGGGGGGGGGGGGCAGTTGCAGAGTGCAACGGAATTTAAAAGCAAACTTGGGACGCCGATTGAGGAAAACCTTAAATAAAAATGATTAATCGTGACAGAATTGTTTCTTTTTTAAACGGGCAAACAATATAGTGGCTGGATACTTGCCTAGCAAGATGGATAATGGACAATGAGGTCTGTCATCCCGTGATATCTCACTCCTGGTGTTTTTGAGTTAGACGGTATTTCCACCAGTTAATCTATACAGAATAACGGACGTCCTTTGCACTTCGATATTTAAAATTAAAACTTATATTGTTTAGCACAAACAAATTATACCGCAAATTTAACACAGATGCACTTTTGCCATGCTGTAACAGCGAAGAGGGTCATTTTGTTTTAGTTCATAATCATCTTGATATAATCTCGTTGAGTGTTGTGCAGACCAGGGTTCACTTTTTGACGGACTCAAACTAGAGGCTCGAGGACTCGAAAAAATTACTGTTTTGTTATCCTCATGCAAAACACTCCTTCGATGTGAAATTAACAAAGCAAATATATCATGGAAAACCTTATCAAGACCTCCCGAACGGTAAGAAACCGTAACTAATCTTATTCTCTTTTATGCTTGTTTTTATTTAATTTATCCACTTTTCGTGTTTTTAGTTTTGATTCCTTGTAGAGCGTTTTAATTTTTTGTAATACGCTTTTTAAAGAATAAAAACTATATAATCTATTTGGCACTAAATACAAACAGTTCGAAATACAATTCCTGTTGTTCATATTCACAGTTACTGACCTTACATTGGACAATTAATGATCATACAAATTGTGTGCACCCAATCCATGCCCATTCATAATGTCTTGCCAAACAGAATTTTGTGTTGGAACGTCGGAGTAATTAAACTAAAAGGACTTGGACTCAGATTTTCAGACTCGGTCTCGGATCGGTAGGACTCAGACTCAAGAAGTGATGGACTAGGAATATGGCACCGCTTCGTCAGGCTGTATATTAACTGATGTTATTGATTTTTACAGAAACTAAAGCCATCACCGCAGTGTGCTCTTTATTCACAACCACCTCATCAAGACCCGTCGTGTATCCTACACAGGGGCCAATGCCCGCACCGCTTAAGCGACTGGAGTTCACCGTACTGACGAACGGTACGGGAGTTGTGACTTTTCACCACTTGGCTGCCGGCAAGGTCCTCTACTCTCTCTGTGAGTATGATCTTGTGTAGAATTTGAAATGGCCAGAGTACACAGTACAATCTCTTTTGGGTGGACTCCAGCATGCAAGGGATTGGCGAAGCACTGGGGGAAGCGGATTGAAGAACTCTTGCTTATCTTATTCATTCAAGTAAGACTAGTGGTGCATGAACTTGCAAACAACACGAAGGTCTTTTCCCACAACTCTTAAATCATAATCATAAATCTGTGCTGGAAATTAGGGGAGGGTGGGGAAAGGTGGTGTGTGGGGGGGTGACTTGCTTGGCCATGATAAGTTGAAAAGCAGGGGAGGGACACTATATATGTTTATGATAAAGATGCAGAATCGTACATCAGAATTGCATATTTATGGCTTTTAAAGATTGTTTTCCCTTTTAAGTGACATTGCAAACATTCTCATCGTTTGAGAAATCCTAAAATTCTTCACCATCCGCTTAATCGTCACAAAACACTGTGTGTGGGGGGCGATTTAAAAGCCCATCCCCCACCTCCAAAAGTGGGGAGATATATACCCCCCATTCCCAAGATTTACGCCCATGTCTCTGCATAAAGCAAGGAAACGAGCGCGAACTCACAGCCCGGTGGGGGGGGGGAGGGGGCAGTCTCTCGTGTTGTTAATAAACCGATGAGATGATGCCATATTTAAATTCGCTTATGTCTCGTAACAGGGCTACAGAAAAGTAAGACCACCATTTTTAATAGTTCCGGCTCGAGTGACGAGGTCGCAGAGGGCATCTATAGCGGTGACGGCCATTTCTGGGTGGCGATCGCCGACGAGATTCAGGTCGGAAGAGGCGGAAGTGACGCCACTCTGGTGCGTTTGCAAAGGGAAATGCCTGCCCTCTCTGTGCAGCGGCTGTATTTCCGTTCTGTACCCTTCTCGGCAGAGTGGAAGATCCACACACCCTATTAGCCTCAAATTAAGGCACCTGGTCACCTAGTCTAACTCCAAGGCGTCATTGGTCAATCGCTGGGTACTGTAATTTAAATCAGACAACAAAATTCAAAGCAGTCATGCCAGCAGGGCACTTTACCACGCCATGGGTGCATGATTAACAGTCATACTCTCAAAGCTATAATTGATCAATATCCAGATAGGGGCCTAAAACCGACACTGCACCAAGACTGACGCTCACGTTGTTTTTTTGACAGGTGAAGATATAATTAACTTTGAATCCATGCAGAATGGCGTAGTTAGCGTTCCCATTTACAATAAATATGAATTATTTGTAAACGCACGTAATTAAAATCGGCAGAATTTTCATGGCGAAAACGCTGTTTTTGTTTTTATGTACCGGTAATCGCTTTTATTAAAAGAGTAAAGACTGCACTCTCCTTTTCTAATGTAATGAATAGATTAACTTGGTTGATAGGCTGAAGCCCAAGTTAACAAGGATGCCAATGTCTCCGGTTTATTATGGTTCACAGTTTATTGTATGCGTACAAGTTGGACAACCTTTCCAGTAATTCAATTCTCTGATTTTGTCTCAGCACGTAACGAGGCCTCCATGCAGTCTGAAACTTTTAAATTCGAAAGAGGCGTATGCGCTCGGTGAGAAAAGGAATATGAATCATTTCTGTGGACCTGGGAATCACAGTTGGCAGAAATATTCCTACCCAAGCTTTCCGTTGAAATATCCAGGCCCCAGAATGATGGGAATGTACGATTTAGTGTAGTGAGCACCGTTTTCGTTGCAGCATCTCCAGACAAGAGGGCGCTGTGCCATGCTAATTTGTAACGGAAACAAATAGCTACCAGCTGAAGTATTGTAATGTAACCTGGCGTAAAGGCTATTGCCAGATAAGACCTTTTAACAGTGGAAGTACCATGGCTTAGCAATTAACATGACTTGTTTGCGTAGTATAGCGTTAGTCGATTACATGCCTACCATTATTTTAACATGCTCTGCATATTATGTAATACGTATCGGAATAACATGTTGACTGATTTTCAAATATCTCCAAGAGGCTAAATGAGTCTGTACCCGGAAGATACAGTAAGGTCATGAGATCTAATATAAGCTTCAAGGTGAGGGGAAAATGCTTAATTGCTGTCCATCTCTTGATAGAAACAGATTCTGCTTTTTCTGTAAGATTAAAATGATGTTCAGTTTGTGGCTGATTTTCTTTACTAACTTCTCCTGTCATTCTAAATCCAATACAGCGCTCTTCTCGCCACCTTTTATGAATTGATTACAAAATATAGGCTATGTTGTCAAAAACGGTATCAAGTGGTTTCCAAGAAATCAATAATGTTTCATGCTTGCTGTATATGGAGTTTGCTAGGGAATTCTTTACTATCATGACGAGGCTCGCGTAGTCTCATCGGGTACGGATCATTGGAAGTAGCAGACATGTTCCGGAAGTACGTCAAGAAACGTCACCACTTTAGGGGATTCTTTCATTCGGCACAACTGACAATGTGCATTTTCACATCAAAGTGTTTATGTGTGGACGATGGTAATTTCACCAATTAGTTTTTCTGGGCCGCAGTCGACGTCGTATCCCGTGCACATTATAACGGTGCATAGCATCCGCCTCTAGAGGCGTGCTGGCCAGACTAGCTAGCCTTGCCACTGACTGGTAGTTGGTTGCCATAAGATAATTAATTGGCTTTTTGCGATGTTGTGTTTCATGCATTATTAATGACAAAACAGAATACCAATTGAAGAAGGTTTTCTGTTGTTTGACAGTTGTATTTCAGTTTTTATGGGCAATAAATTTCGAATGGAAAATTTCTTCTTCTTCTGACTCGACTGATCATCCTCCAGCGCCCGACCACGCAGATATACACTTGTTGAATCAAGTTCAATGACCGTACTTATACGGTACAGCTAGCTGCAGAAGGCCGGTATTATTTTGAAAAATTCCTGCTTGAAACGCAACTTCTTTTCTTTAGTGTAATACCAATAATATCAACCTTTCTGAAATCCTGAAAAATATCTCGTGAAAAATAAAAGTCTGCAACAGGCATTCTTTTGGCTTTGACCAAAATTTCAAAAATTGTTATTATGTTAAGTTAAATGAATGACAGTGGATGATTGCTTCGAACAATAATGGTTCAACTCGTTTCTTGTTGATCAAATAGTGGGTTTTGGAATTGAAGTAAAATAGAAAGATGGTTAAATGTTGCTTTTTTGAAATGACATTTGTTGAATTACTTAAAATTATTCAATTCATTTTACATTCTTTCATACATGTAGTTGCATTCCAACTGTTTTATCATTTAAAATATCTCTTTCTGGGGATTTTATCGGTGAGTACCCCCTCGTTTAACCCATAATTATTAATATGATTAATTTTGGTCTTTCCTTCGATTCTGACTTTCCTATTAGGTGAAAACAGTATTCAGAATAAAGTGCTTGCATGACTGCAGCTGCACTCTGTATTTTAGGTTGTCATCTTTTTGACGGTGTCTTCGAGCTGCAATTCCTTCATTACGTAATACGTTCTTTCTGACCTGAAGATGGACTTTGAATATTCCCTCGCAGTAAGGTTTTTTTTTATTTCACTGAGTTCCAATCTTTCGCTGTTCGATACTTAGCTTAGCAGTTTATGCATCAATGAGATTCAAAGCGTTCAAAGAGTATTGCGTCTAATCGCCGTACGTGCGCACGCGTGAGACGCAGCACGCACTCGAATAGGACGCAAATAACAATCTACGAACGTGTAGGTGCGCAGACAGGTGTACGCGTGAGTCGCGCATGCCTTAGCGTTTAAAGATGGAGTACAGACAGAGTGGATGGTACGTAGAAAGGAAACAGCACCTTTGAAACGACAAACTGCATCACGTTGCAAATCATGGTCACTGAATCCTCTGGAGACCTAGTGAGTTGTTGAACGGACACCTCTATGTGGAATGAATGAGAAGTTATGATAAACCTTGAACGAGGGAACAAGAATTTTGCAACACTTCTCATCATCTTCGTGTCGATGCATTCAAACACTATCGGTAAGATATTTCAATTCTTCATGAGATGGGGGCACATCGTAATGTTTGGTCCATACTCTCTCTAAACATAGGCAAATATCGTTCGAATCTTTATGTTTACACAGTCAGTTTCTGAATGCAGTAATCTTAGTATCAAACGGCCTTCAAAATCATTCATTTCGCTCGGACTAAAATGTCCGCTTAAATTAAGAAACTAAATACCAAATACTGGTTTAGGCCTAATTAAAGTTCCATTAGTTTAAGTCATTCCAGTAACCCCATCCTCTTTAATGCTTAGGATTGAATCTGAAAGTATTGAATTCAACCATTGTTAAACTCTTTTCTCTTTCTGTTATGAATTCATATAGGCCCGATTATTACTGTGGAATACAACATTTCTCTAAAATAGCGTCAGTCAAGTACTGAAAGTCTATATTCATTGCTCCCACGGCATTTGGGCAAGAACTTTAAGCTGGTTTTCATACCCCGTTGGCCCCCTGTATCGAATTGGTTTTTGCATCATGTTAGCCATGCATCCTCAGTAAATATTGCTGAATTTGCCACATTAAATGAATCATCGTACTACCTGGACGAAGGAAACTTATGCTTCAAATAAAAATTCTGTGACTGTTTAAACTCGCAAATATTTTAATTATTGTCTTACAACGAAGGATGGAAAGTCGGGGTCAAGGACCAAGACAAGATTTGTTACCTCTACACGCACCAGACTAAGACCTGTTTCATACAGTCCCAGGTCAGTGGTTGGGTTGTCCTGCCGCTGCACCTGACGCCCACCACGGTGGCCGATCTGACCACGCCCCTGGACATATCCTGGTTCCGGCGCGTCAAACTCCGGAACCGGCACGCGTTGGCCGTGGTGAACCTCTTGGAGGGAGGGCGCCCTCCTGAATTCATGTCACTCTCGGATAACCGGACCGATTTGACCATCAGGATTTTGTCTGAATACGACATGAGCCGAAACAGCTTCAAGGCGAGGGTCGGGAGCAAGGAAAACGGCGATTACCAGAATTTCGTCATCGAGTCCGAACCCATAGGTATGAGAATAAAAATGATGAAAAAACATTAATGACGGTGGGAATGAGAAAGCGAAACTGAAGACCATAGTATACATACACCTTCAAAATGTCGGTGTTGAATACAGTAAAAAGGATCTTATACATGTAATGATCAGACAAAGAGGAAACACACCGTCGAAGAAGGCAGTTTTTGTTAAACGTCCTACAGGGCTGAAAGACGTTCAGCTAGGCCTATATCCATCATAAGTGTAATTTTGGTTTACATGTAAATGGTTTCTATCATGTTATTCACGACTATTATCATCGGATTTTACAGTCTTCAAATGCACAGAGAAATTCTTGTTTTGTCAGTAGTTTTGGTACCAGGTATCAACAGTTTAATTCAAATCTGAGGCCAGTTGTAAATTTTACTCTTGTATTAAAGTCTAAAAAAAGACTTTTCCTGACGAATTCGAATGTAGAAGTTGAAGAGCCCCAACCGGGCGATTTCGTCGCTATCAACACCGTAGATTATTTCACAATCCCCGGGAGGGACGCTCACTTTGACTGGTCAAAAGAGGGCGCTCGCCACCTGCCCAGAAATACTGGCATAAGCCACGACGGCAAACGGCTGGTAATACGGCATTACGTCCCCGCAGAAGACTCCGGAGTGTTTGTATGTGACGTGTACAGCCCTACAGACTACTTCATAGCCGGGAGGCGATTTGTCCTGGGAGGTGGTATGTTAAAAGCAAAAGGAACACCTTTGATTTCCGATATTACTTGGAAGAAATATTCAGACTCATCACTAAGGACAAATATCCCTGTGCTTTATCTTTGGTTTAACTGTCGAATCAAAATAAACTCACTGCATTCAAGAAACAAAATAAAAAACACTACACATCTGAAACAGACTCAATTTTTTTTGAAAGACATGCACCTACAGGTTATTTTTTCCTGGAGACTTTCATTCATTGCACACTGAGTGACCAAAGAAGTGTGAACAGGCATGTCCTACCTCTATGATTTCAACCTTCGAAAGTGGTGATCATTTTAAACACCTTTCCCGAATTTTTCTCACATCAGCAGGACACGCAGACGCTAACTTGGACACTCGAGGTTCTTCCATCGGTCACACGCCGTACTCTCAAAATCGACAGGGTGAGATTTTCATCGGCCTCTGTAGCCCCTTATTTCAAGTTTGGTGTCAAGAGGACTTCTAGCTTTGTGACAATCGAAATTTCGCCATAAAAAAGAACGCAGTTTTTCACGTTTCTGCAACGACAGTGTAATGATCAAACAGATGCAGCATATCTGAATCATTCCGATGGACAGGGAATTGTTTCCCAGTGAAACCCACCTGGACAAATATTCACATGTAACTGGGATGTGTGCACCATTGAGGTCACCATGTATTTCGTGTTCACCCTCAGGGTGAGGACAGATCAAGAATCTTTTTTTTTTCGGGGGGGGGGTTGATAAAATTGATTCAGGGGGCCTAAAATATGATAACTTTTAAATGCACCCTTTTTGGCCTTTCCTAGAGTTTGGGCTATAGGTTGGGGTTTTTATGCACGTTTCTGAAAAGAGAGGAAATTAAAGAGACTCCCAAATCACCTTTCTCTCACTATTTTTAACAATCTTTCCTTAGCTCTTTTTTTTGGGGGGGGGGCTCTTCCCTCACGATCTGTTAGTGACTCGGGGAAGCCACTCTGCCCACGGACGTGTATAATAAAATTTGACCCACGCGATGCAGTAGAGTAGATTCGGTAGAGTAGAGTGGCGGCCATTTTACAGTGCCGGAAGTTTCTAAACTAATTAACGCTAACCTATGGAAGACTGCCACAATTTCTGATATTTTTTCGAAAAAACAATAATTTCAACGGCCGCCACATGACCTCAGGTGGCTTCAAGCAATCAGGAGAGCTGCTGGTCCAGATCTTTTTATATACGTCCGTGACTCTGCCCAGTTACTTGGAATACTGCCCTCTATGAGCTTTCCATTTTGTCTTATTTCGCCTCCAAATTCTAATGCCAGGCAACGCCGCCCTCTACGAGTGGGAAACCTCGGGCGTGGATTTTCCCTGGGTTGACGGTGAACCAGATCTGGATGTGGATCCCTTGCACATCGGTGAAATCGTGCATACCTTCAAGAACAATGGAGGTTGGTAGAGAAAGGTTAAAAACAGAGGGAAGAGGTTTCGGCCTGGAGTCAAGTCATAGCTCTGCATCGCAGATGAATTTAACGTTCTTGCTGATAGAATGACAATGCAGGGAAAATATTTCTACATAAAACTTACTAGCTAGATGAAAGATTGCTGCAGAAATCCATCGAATTTTAGGCTATAACAAGAAGGATTTTAATGGACCAGCCTCGATTCCTATTCTTTCATTAAAACATGGCGTTTATTTGTGATTCAGACGAACGGAATTGTGGCAGACTCGATTTCATGGGCTCTGCATCTGAAACAAAGACGGATAGTAATACTGATACTCGAATGGTATTCACGCTTGGAAATTTTGATGTGTTTACTGCGAGTAATGATGCGAAAGGTGAAGCTGGGACCAGTCCTACACGGTGGAACCATAGATGAAACGAATTTGACACCACTAATTGGACAATGCAGAGACTTGAAACCTCAACAGAAGTAGTCTGTTTTAGTCGTCCAATATCAGATCGGTGTTTTTCCCCGGTTTCCTTTTGCATGGAAAGACTGAGAGGTTTTTCCCCGCCACTGGATGGGATGCCACTCTTTCTTCCTAACACACAAAACGTTTTGGGATTTCACTCGTCTTGTCGTCGAGATAGTTCACAGGACAAAATGTACCCAAAATCTTGCCGAAATGACCAATGAAATCCTGTCATTTTTAGACGCTCGTGAACTTTGACCCCAATAGCGCAGCTAGGGTTCTCACCATGGGGGGTGAGTGAGTTGGGGAGGTGGATTTTACACGGGAGAGAGGGCAAGTCCGAGCACATGTATTTTCTTAATAATACTAATATTTTCTTTGTGTTCCAAATTTCTAGAGGGGAGGGAGGCTGGGGCTATAATTTTTTTTGGGGGGGGTTGACGTGAGCCCCCAAGGCTGCGTCACTGCTTGACACATGAAATATTTGAGTTGTTGGTGTATATAAATGGTCTATGTATGCCCCCGAGAGGAGCGAAGTAATGGGGGGATTTCCAAAGGACACAAGCTTGAAACCTGCACGCAATACGGCGATTCACAAAAGTGCGCCTCCAAGAGTTTTGCTACGCGTTGGCCAATCACAACGCGCAAAATCGGTCGACCCTTTCCATATGCGCACTTGGTCGACGGATTTCGCGCATCGTGATTGGTCGACGCGTTGCAACTCTTGGAGGTACGTTATTGTGAATCGCTCGTACTGTATGTAAACTTTCAATGATGGTAATTTTCCCTTCAGATATCAACTACGCACTACAGGGAAGGACCCAATACCTGGCATGCCTACCTAGCAACATGGCGCCTGTTGATCTGACAAAGATGGATCCCATTTTCACCTGGAGTAAACTAAAAGGCAGCGACGTCATTCCAACCTTTGACAACGGCAGATATTTAACAATTGAAGGCGGCATCCTTCAAATTTCCAGCGTGACACCAAAGGACTCAGGGAAAGTAGAATGTAGGGTGACGTACCATGACGTCACAGGCGAACCAAGAGTGAAAACCTATTCCTACGGCATTGAAGGTATCTATAAAATAATCCTTTGAAAATGTTTCCCCTTAATTCCCCTAAGGCCAATCTTTTGACCCTTCAGAAAGCCAGATTTTTAGGGAACTCAAATTCCTCCAGGAACGGAGGTGGGGTTTGACAGATTCCACCTTCCCAGGTTTTAGCCGTCCCAGTTTGTCTTGTAAGTTTCAAAATGATTCATCCAGACTAAGGGTTTTGTCTACAGTTCTAAAATTCACACTTTATCACTTTTGTAGGTCCGTGTACAGTGACATTTCATTAAGTCAATCAGAAAAACTAACATTTGGCATGTCTATGTTAAAAACCGGATATTTTGCGTGAATCCGATTATAATAAATAAGGGGTTAACAAGAAACAGGCACAAAAACTCATGCTATATGACACTGGAAATTATGAACTTTCGGGGACAGTTAATGGCATGTTTCTTTGTTTTTGATATTGTCGATCGGTCATTTAGATCAGTATTGCTATTGGCAGTCAGTGACAATTTTTGTGTCCCTTTTCTATTGCCATTCCGAATGTCGGAAAAGTTCTTTAGGTTTTCTAATTTTTTGCTCATTGCTGCTACTTTCTAGCGCTGTTGGAAATATCTTCCTTGTGATGTATGTAACAAGCGACAACTTCTAGATTTTGCACGTGTCTTTGATCTGTTTTAGTGTGTTTTCACGGCACGAAAAATACTCAGACCAAATCGGATCCTTAGATTTCAGGTTGTATGCACATAGTTCTGTTTTTATTCAAATTCGATATAAAACGAACTTGCGGGCATCTTTGCGCGTCCCCGGTAAAACAATGTCATCTTTTGTTTCATCAAACGAAAAAAAACTGAAAGCACCATGCAAAATGAACTCATGTTGTGTTAATATTAACAACTGAAAAATGTACTACTGTACATCTCACATCAAACGCCCCTTACGACTTTCCACCGATCCCGTATGATCTGAAGTTCCTGTCATTACTTGTGAAAAGGGCTTTTAAAATCTAAGTTTTTAGTTACTTTTTGCGTCATAAGCACATTAAAATAAGTTAACACGAACGATTCCGAATGATACATTATATAGTATTTATGCTGATTTCTAGAGACTTTTTCCCCTTGCTTTCTTTCTAATCTTGTCCTGGATAGCTTGTATCTTCAAAAGAAAAAGAAAAAGTCTTTATTCCACCGAGACTTGAGTATAGCCTTTGTACAGATTGACCTGAAATGGACCTCTGCTGAAGCTGACACGTTTGGAAATTAAGGAAAAAAGGAAAAGCCAATCCTAAAGACGTCCCTGGGTGGGCTCGAACCACCAACCTTTCGGTTAACAGCCGAACGCGCTAACCGATTGCGCCACAGAGACTCTTCATGCTATGGGCAATGGATCAAAGTCATTGGCTTTTCTATAAAATTAAAACCTTAGCTATATCATCAAAAATTCGTAAGAAATCTCTAAAAGGCCGTTGGTAAAGGATGCTAAATTTCGTTATAAAATTATAATTATTAATTTGCTGAAGAAAACAAATCCAGGACAGTTCATAAAACTACGCATGAGGCTTCACTCACCCACGACACGGTTGTGACGGTAGCCCTATTCCTGATGATATATCAGAGCATCGTAATGTTGCGCATTGTAGCTTGTTTCCTGTCTCAATTCGTTACAATATAAGATGATAATTGATACAGGTGTTCATCCCTTGTACGTCAATTTCAGGGTATTTGCATATGTTTGCTTCCCTTTTTTTAAAAAAAAAACAAAAACCGTTACAAATCAATAAAATACATATCCAAACAAATGTATTGGAAGGAAGTGCTTTAGCGATGGCTCGCTCCTGCACGGTATCTAGAAAAAAGGGTAAAAGCCTTGTGGAATTAATCGGGTAATGATTTAAACTGACCCTTTGGTTTCCCTTTATAAGGCACTCATTCAACCTATTGTAATATTGTTTGGGCACACTCAAGCAACGCTAAACTTCACTCACTCACCACCATTCAAAACGAGCCATTCGAATTTGGTCCCTTTCAAGACCACAAGACCACACAACACTGCTATTTGCTTGACGGCGCACTCTAGGATATTAACAAATTGCAAACTTGTGTTTTCATGTACAGGTAAATGCACAATCTCTTGCTTAATGCATTGTTCTCTTATTTCACCTCAACAACTCACATCCATGATCACGATACTAGATTACGCCCCAACCTCTTTTTTTTACATATACACACACAACTTAACAACCCTTAGATTCTAAACCTGCCATCTTTTTGTTCACTGTCTTTTTACACCTTGGGCATAAATTAACGGCCTGAAGCTTTATATCTCTTCAAAACTAAAAAAAAAAAATAATGATAAAAAATAAAAAATTATCCTTTTACGCCTTCAAAACGTGCGTCCCTGGGTGGGCTCGAACCACCAACCTTTCGGTTAACAGCCGAACGCGCTAACCGATTGCGCCACAGAGACCGAGGCGAATTTGAACACACGCATCGCCCCCTTTTCACGTCAATCCGGAGGTCCTTTTCTTGGCTCCAAAAGACAGACTTAAGTTCTTCATTTAAATTTGGAGTGATACAAAAACTATCGAGTTAATTCAACAAGCAGTTTGGTGCATGAGTGGACGTTACAAATCAATAAAATACATATCCAAACTAATATATTGGAAGGAAGTGCTTTAGCGATGGCTCGCTCCTGCACGGTATCTAGAAAAAAGGGTAAAAGCCTTGTGGAATTATCGGGTAATGATTTAAACTGACCCTTGAAACGGAATTTCCGCGGTTGTAAGTTAATTTGAGTAAAAACTGGCCAAAGTTGAGGGCGACCTTTATTTCGTAGTGTAGGCTTTCTCGTGTTTGAATCTCACCCAGTTCTCTGTGAGCGTTTACAGTATTTGCTTTGTGGCTAAATGATTGCAATAGGTTGCCTTGAATGAACTGAAATATTCAGACCTTCTTCCTTCACGTAAATGACGTGACATCAATTCTTTCAGATTTGTCCCACAAGGTTTTTTACTCTACGGTAAGACCACAATTCAGTGAGAAGCATTTTACCACTTTCTACAGACTGCATTCGTGCCAAGAAGAAAGGAAAAATGTCTGTGAAAGAATCGACTGTTCTTTTGAATATTTTTTTAAAGAAAGTGTTAAAATTTTACAAAGTGTTAATTTTCTCTGAGGGCAGACGAATAAATGGTAGACAAAAACAAAAATTCCCAAACCTAAAAACTCTATGTTTCATTTCGAACATTTGCTAATTCTTTGGTAGTCTACAGTCCCCAATGCGTATATGCTTGCATACTTTACATGAATTTTTATAGAAACGAAAGTTACAAACTTGTCAAATAACTCCCAAAGTACTGGGAAGCCAAACAGAAAACATCGAAAATGTTTCAACCAATCGTCTTTTCTTTTCAGTGTATACCCTACCAGACTTCGTGTATTCGGTATCAGCCGCGTACACCGCGGATGACTGCGATTCGGTTCAACGAAACGCGGTCTTCAAACAGCTCCTTGGAACCCATCTCCAGTCGTCCATCGTTGCGGGCGATGCCTCCTATGAGATCACGGACTTTGTGGCAATTTGCACCGGTGCGGTGGACGGCTCTTCCGGGAGAGTTGGCAGCGAGTCGGCCGAGGGCACCCGGCTGAACCTGGTGAGCTTCGACGTGACGGTGAGACACGCGGCGGTGTCAGAGTGCAGCATGCCGTGCATGGTGGGGGAAATGGACATCAAGACGAGGCTGGTAAGCGCGCCTTGTTCTATATTCTTCAGATCATCTTGATTCTTAGCACTGCAATGAAGTTAATTCTTCAGTAAACTACCCTAAAACCAGCCCAATCTTAAACTAAATCTTATAGGCGGCTAGAGTCCCTTTGAAATTACTTACATATTTCTCAAATTTAGTCATTTGGATCAATAGCCAGAACTATCTCAACATTCGGCATCAATATACATCAATTCGTGGACACAATTCCACGACTAGTCCTATTAGCCATGGAGTCCCCCAGAGCTCCATTCTTGGTCCTTTTCTCTTTCTGTTTTATATCAAACGACCTGCAGAATTCTTCCTTGTCATTATCGTTTCTTCTATTTGCTGATGACACAACGACCATTCACTCCAATTCCACCCTCGAATCCCTTATCTCAACTTCTAACACTGAGCTCGTCAAAATTTCATCTTGGTTCAAATTCAATCAACTGTCTCTGAACCCCCCCCAAAAAAAACTGTATCTTCTTCAATGAATCCAGTTCTCTTCCCTATGTGTTGCCTTCTATCTACATTGATAATATCCCCGTCTCTATTGTCGATTCGACTAGATTTCTGGGAGTGATCTTAGACAACAAACTCTGCTGGAATGATCACATTTCTTCAGTCTCTAAAATTGTTTCTGGTAACACAGGTGTTCTGTCCAACCTTCGCACTTTCCTTCCACCATGTGCTTTGGTTTCCCTTTATAAGGCACTAATTTAACCTATTGTAATATTGTTTGGGCACACTCAAGCAACGCTAAACTTCACTCACTCACCACCATTCAAAACGAGCCATTCGAATTTGGTCCCTTTCAAGACCACAAGACCACACAATAATGCTATTTGCTTGACGGCGCACTCTCACACTCAAGGATATTAACAAATTGCAAACTTGTGTTTTCATGTACAAGTAAATGCACAATCTCTTGCCTAATGCATTGTTCTCTTATTTCACCTCAATAACTCACATCCGTGATCACGATACTAGATTAAACCCCAACCTCTTTTTTCAGATATACACACACAACTTAACAAACCCTTAGATTCTAAATCTGCCATCTTTTTGTTCACTGTCTTTTTACACCTTGGGCATAAATTAACGGCCTGAAGCTCTCTTCAAAACTAAAAAAAAATAACAAAAAAATAAAAAAATTATTCTTTTTCGCCTTCAAAATGTCCGTCCCTGGGTGGGCTCGAACCACCAACCTTTCGGTCAATAGCCGAACGCGCTAACCGATTGCGCCACAGAGACCGATACGAATTTAAGCACACGCATTCCCCCTTTTCATGTCAATCCGGAGCTCATTTTCTTGGCTCCAAAAGACAGACTTAAGTTCTTCATTTAAATTTGGAGTGATACAAAAACTATCGAGTTAATTCAACAAACAGTTTGGTGCATGAGTGGATTCCAACCACTATTTGGTCTAAGCCGAATGTGACATGAAGATTGTCGTATTAACTCAAATTCAGTTGGTTCTAAATTTAAATACAAAAGGGCCATGTAAACTTAAACGTTGAAGTCTTGCGTTAGCGAAATATTCAACGCACAACCCTTTCGCTTAACAGCGATGTGCACACAAATAACTTACAACATCACTGTTTCCTATTATCAACGGTGTGCAAAACTACCCCAGGTTGACAGCTAGAAAAAATGGAAATAAAAAGGTCCGTCGAGCTTAGGTGGATCAGTATAAATTCAGATGAACTGCTGACCAATTGCGCTAAAAAGACGAGTATTTCATAGAAGTTCAACTTCTCTTTCATTTTGATGTATCAGGAACAAAAAAGCTGGACAGAAACCAGCAACTGACCTCGTTAATGTAGTAATGAAAACAAGGATATGAACCCAAGTTTTGTAATTGATGCGAAGGTGCCCATAATTTCTTTAAAATGTGCAGACTTCTTTTGGACAAAATTTCATATCCTCAGGTAGAAAGAATGATACTTTCCACGCCACTGTGCACAATGTGTACGGTCAAAATGCACAACAGTATCAAGATTTCGTTATTTCTCTGTGGAGTGTAGGTTGGGCTGAAGTTGGGCGCATTCTTCAGTCGGGAACTGGAAGAAGGACAGCACGGATACGACTCCTCCCGTCTGATTCCTGACTCGCTGCGTTTTTCGTTGAAGTATCGCTGTGAGGAGGGCTACGGGCTGCACGCCTCCATTTGTAGTGAGTGTAAAACAGCTCGACTATTAATATTGGTGAAATCTTGTCATGTCAAGCAAATGACGGATAATGCTCAGAAAGTGATTTTGAAAAATCCGAGTTGTAAGTCCAGCTTATATGCATAATCTCATAAGCCTGAACGCAAATCTCCTCTACTTAAGGCTTGCACTATAGAATGAAATCATTAACAGGTTAAACTTAAACAACAAGCTAAATTAGATGCGATTGGAACACTAATACCTTTCAGTTATTTGCCAAACACAAAAACCTATTGAACTGCTACGATCTTTTTGACATGCAGTTCATGAGGAAGGTCGACTTAAAGTTTTCGTCTTCAATCATACAACGCAATATTAAAGAAAAGAAAAAGTGACGCCCTTCCTTTTTGTTGTCCATTAGACGTATTCATAATACATTAAAATAAAAAAAGCAAAGTTTCAGCGACCGTCCCTGGGTGGGCTTGAACCACCAACCTTTCGGTTAACAGCCGAACGCGCTAACCGATTGCGCCACAGAGACCTCTGAATGCAGGTTCTATTTTCATTCCATTGGCCTGTTCCCTGTCTTCAAAAGTGAATTGGAGGAAAAGTGAATAACCTTTACACGTTGTATAAGCATATACAATAGAATTTGAATGTCACCCATAAAGAAGTTTTCTGACGTCAAACAATCCTTGAGCGTTTTCAGAACTACTAATTTTGGTAAGAGAGTCCTTCCTCAACAGAAGCATGCTTTGCTGAACACTTTCCACACAGGTGGAATAGTCGCGTCTGCTGCGCCGTGATTGATGCAACAAAGTAACAACCTTTCGCTTGAGGGAGTTGTACGCTTTCAGACGAGTTCAACTTACAAAGTTAAGCCAACCATTCGATTTTCACAGTTGCTTGCCCGCCGGGGTCGTACAGCAAACAAGGCAGCGCAAAGTGCTCACAATGCCCAGTAGGCAGGTACCAACCAGCATATGGTGCCGTGGATTGTATCGATTGCCCAGCCCGTGAATTCACCCTCTGGTCCGGTGCGGTCTCCGTTGAAGAGTGCCAAGGTAATTTCGTCTGTAAGATCTTCAGTGGCAAAGTAATTCTGTCAATGAACTTATTATCATCTATTTTAATTAAATATAAGACAGGGTTTTTGAGGGGAGGGGATAATGCTAGGCATTTTCTAAGATTGTTAACTTTTGGCGAACAAGTCATCCAAAATTTAGCTCAGGTTTTATTTTAGTGCGCAGCGGCTTTCGAGTTAAAAACGACCTTTTGGACCATGGCTGCACAATGTTTGAGTGTTATGTCGTGGAATATAATCGAGGAAACTATTTGGAAAATAACAATATTTTGGCTATTTTAAAATGTTTGAGATATTTCAAAGTTGCAAAGTAACTAAACAATTATCTATTATTCATTGCTTTTAAGAACTTTTTGTCCTCGGAATACCCTACGTTTCAAGTTTTTGGAGGTCGGTGGTGCTAAACTCAAAATACACATTAAGTAGAGTTTGAACCTCGGTTCGACCAAATCAAATTTGGGATGCCCAAATATGGACCAATCAAATCACGGATACCACTTTTTGTTGGACATATCAGGACAAAATGATCATATCATTTCCCTGATCATTTTTTTTGCAACCTTTGAACAGTGAAGACTGTCCTTCTGTGGTCTTTGATGGGAGTGTTCGGTCTGATGGCGCTGTCTGGCCTGATAGTGTTGGTCATACTGTACAGGTGGGATCTCTATCGATTTGATTATCAAATTTCTCTATCAGGGATATAGTCTTACCAAAACAGTTGACAACTAGTTTTGTTTGTATGGGACCCCGTACACATTGCAACTTAGATGAACAGTTGTTTTTGAATTTGAACAGTAAATAATGAAATACATGTATGATATGAAAGTATGCGTAGTTAAGGAACACCCAGCGGTTCGAGGTGAAACATACGACGATGCTATAATATTGGAGTGATCTTGAAATAGGCCCATATACTGAAATGTACAATCCACCAAGCGCGGGAGGGAAAACTCAGGGGGGGGGACAACTGGAAAGATTCCAGTTGAGCTTTGAAATATATTCCTTTGCAAAGTTTGTCAACTCTGTCAGTTGATCAAGACTTAGATTTTGCGAACTTGTCCAACTGTTTTCAGTTACAGATCTTCATTAGAAGGACCGGATTGAACAGGTTCAGGGGCCGCAAATATTTAGCACACTTGGTACTCCAGTGTAAGGGCATCGCTGCCAATTTCGCTTGACGACTGTCATCATGCGGGTGACAGTGTCACTCAAAGTGACATTTCCATGTCATTTATTATTTTTGTATTCTGTAGGAGGACTTGTGTGTGTGGGTGTATGTGTACCGAAGTGAATACGTCGCGCGCACAATTAGTGTGTAAAAGGCATTAGCGCGAGAACCAGCGCGTGAACCAACACGCGCGCGTACTCCATTAGTTTGCATTGCCTTTCTGGTTTACAGTGACGTCACTCTTGGGTACTCTATAGAATACCGAAGTGAATACGTCACGAGCACAATTCTGTGTGTAAAAGGCATTACGGCGAGAACCAGCGCGTGAACCAACACGCGCGCGTACTCCATTCGTTTGCACTGCACTTTCTGGTTCACTGTGACGTCACACTGCGGTACTCTTAGGGGAGTGGTGGGTGAAACATTCGCAGGTCATCCTCCAAAATGTTTGGATCGTTCCCAACCAATACCTGGGTGCAAGGGGAGTGGGGTAGCTGGGATAAGGTCATGAGAGAATGCAACTCTGGCTACTATCCGCTCCGAGCGTAACAAAAGAGGGCGTGTTTTTTTGGTACTCACCGCACATAGGCGCGCCATGAGGCGGGCAAGTATTTGCACGTTTGGCGCGGAGCACGCTGAGTACGCGTAACTAATTTATACTGGCTGGCGTATCCGGTTCGTAAGTGACTTCACAAAGTCGGATGCGCCACGATTTGCAGGCTCTCATTGGACAATCGCTGAAGTTGCGCGTTAACTTCCGGTCCATGGTTCCATGTAAACGGCGATCAATGCATGTAACCGTATGTGCAGTGCACGTGTGCAGTGGGCGTGGTTTAAACTGAAGTGACGTCACACTTACGAACCGGATGGTCTTTGCGTACACGCAGAACGCGTGCAAGAATCCGCTTGTAGTCACCTGTCGTTATTTCGCCGATTAGGGGTGCACTTAAACTCGGGCCGGACACATCACCAGAGCAAGGGAAAGGCTGTCTTGATCCACACTCACTTAGTCTGAACGTCGACATTATAAGGACATGAGAAGAACTGACTGTGCTGTGCTCACTGACTCATTTTCTCCATCTGAATCTTTTTCTGACAGATTCGGGAAGCGCTTACATAAGGCCGAGGGTCAGGGTGCCACTGAGGTTGCGACCGTGGCCAAGCAATCGGACACCAAGGCAATGAAAGATGTCGCTAAGAAACCGGCTCGTAAAGTGACCAAGTCAAAGAAGTATTCGTTGATATCTAACATCTCTAGTCCTGCCCTCCAGAGTGAGCTAGAATCACTATTAGAATCCAGCGGTAAAGACGACAGTGATGTAGAGTCGCAACAAGAGGGCGCAGCAACAATTTTTCGCCAGACTGGTCGTCCAGAAGAAGTTCCCGATGGCACAAAATACGAATTGCAGGAGCAAGATACGAGCCTGCATCACGCGGTGCAGAAGGGCAATATTGACAAGACCGGCGGTGCAACGAACCAAAATAACACAACAATCTCTCAACTTCCAGGCAACTTTGAGCTTGTTTATCAGCGGCAAAAAGAGCCGTGTGATCAGCTCTCTCGTTCGCAAGTGGCCACTGAGCATGGCAGGAATGAATGGCAACGTTCAGCACACCCATCTTTCCACGATTCGTTTAGGGACAAAACACTCCAAGAATCTGCAATGCCACACACTGATTCATATTCAAATGCGAATGTCTCTTCCGAGAAGCCATCTCACACGCGAATGAGTTTGACCAAACTGCCCCTCGAAACGCAGCTTGATTTCCTGTCTCAGCGAGCGTTTACACCGAGGACTGGAGAAGCTCACTTTACTCATAAACATTCTTCTCGACAGACTAACATTATATCCCCCAACTCACCACCAAATCCTCATACTTCATTTCCATCTCATCGGCAATTCACACTCCAAGACAGCTTCCAGATGGAGACATACCCGTCAACCACTCTCAGTGATCATCCCGATATCAATTTTAGACCATCTGATATTCAAAGACAGACCTCTGTAGCAAGCCCCTCTCAGGTCCCTACAGCGAGCCGTGGAAGTAGCACTTTACCACCAAGAAGGAGAGAACCGTCATTTGGTTCTGCCAGCCCCGATTCTCCAGCGAGTAGCCGTTCCAGCAGTAACTCTGACCTCACACGATCCTCTGCTGTGCTCGCTGATTTCTCCGATGAGATATATTCGGAGACTGAAATCGGGACCTACATTGTCGAAGGAGACCACCTTCCACCGGAAGAGGAAAGTCGCCGATCCTCACCGATTCTTCATCCAAATTTGTCTCCAGGAAGAAGCTCCGTTGCGGCACTGATTGCGTCTTATCACGCGTTATCTCAAAGAGGTCCAAGTCATACTCCTTCACAGGTTGATCGAATTTTAGATCTATCTAGTGCTGCAAGTTCTAGCCCTAGCTCATCAAAAACAACTTCACTGACCGGAAAACACGACACAGATGTCAACAGAGTGGTCTCTGAGAGCGCTACCCGGATTACATACTCCGGAGAGCAGATTTTGCCAAGCATATCTAGACATAGAGCTCTACCACATCATTTACAGCCTGCGACCTCTGGGATAGTTGGTGCAACCCCAGTACCCTCCCCTCCAAGAACTCCGCAAAGAGAACAGTCGAAAATTTTCACTCCCGCTATTTCATCTGCTACGGCTACGCCAATTGATAGTCCCCCAATGTCTCCTACGACTGTTACAAGAGACCTTGATCAGACTGTAAGTGAGTACACTCAAAGAGCAACATCACCTCGAGATCAGCTCACAATTCCCCCTTCCCCTCCAAGAATGCCTCCAGAGAGCCTGGCAAGAGCTTCCACTCCTTCTCAAACTAAGGAACTTTCTTCCTCACTATCCTTACAGGAAAGCAGGTATACCCCTCAAAGACCCCCGTCACCCGTACGTGCTCCATCGATACAACTCCCTCAGATATCTCCCAAGGAGTCGTTGATGACCAGGAGGTCCTCACTCATGACAACCCCGTCAGGTAGACCAGTGAACCCCTTCAAACTGCAACGACTTAGAAGGCAGTCTTTAGAAGGGCAAAACTCCTCACACCTCACCTCCACATTATCTGCAGCGCCTCACTTTGAAAGTTCGTCCTCGGTTCTACCTCGGCATCAGTTGGACACACCACTTGTAGCACCTCATAGTGTTGTATCTTCCTCTGCAACCCACTCAACTAATGTTGTTTCTTCAATAAATAGGATTCCTTCTGAGAATTTAGCACCTCCTTCCATTCCAGCTCCTCCTCCGATGACGCCATCCACAATCGCTCCTCCTTCCCAAACACCAGCGATGCCCCCACCTCCCGCTCATTTAGCTCCTTCTACCAGCCCCACCCATCCAGTCAGCGCACCTCCTCCTCACTCCGGCGGTGTCCTCCCTCCCTCACCTCCGCCTCCCATCAGTGCTTTGCCACCACCAGGAGGACCTCCGTTAGCCCCACCTCTCTCAACGGCCCTACCCACCGCGACTACTGCTGCAACTGCGGATACAGATGCGGAGTCTCCCGCGAGCCAGTCGAGTGCCCCTCCACACCCCGTGGCAGCTCTAATCGATCAGGAATTTGAGGGCGAGAAAGGCCCCAAGTCCCTCACGTCCGAACCGGTGAAGGGGTGGTCCGGGGAAAACATTTCTGCAAGTACGCCGACGACAGCGGTACTGGGGAGTGTATCGACGCCCCCAGCTGGTACCGTACCTGCCCCGCCACCTCCTCCACCCCCACCGCCTTTGCTTGAAGATTGAAATTTACTATGATAAAGTCAGTTGAAGACGTACAATTTGAGACCCAAAGCGTAATATCTATCTTGTTGAAGTGAGGATTTAATCGTCATGTGATGTAATGATTGCATTTTTATTACATCATAACAAATGAAATTGCCTTCAAGGCAGGACTTTTATGAAGAGAATTTCTTTTCTTTTGTAGACGCTCGCATAACATCAACAATAATTAAAGAGAAAAGCCTTCTTATCAAAAATTGCATTTTTTCACATGTTGATGAATCTTTCCCCACAAACAAAGACACGTTTCACTGAAACCAGGGCCCAGGATTTCTGTCAATGAATAGATAAAACTGACCATGTTAACATAACATATTCAAATTTTGATGAACAAAAAACAGTAGTTATGATTACCAAAAATAAAACTTGCACGGAATGGGTCACCACATTAATGCTATCAGAAAATTGCCTTGTACGTATAGCCCTCGCAATGATAAGAACTGATTAAAAGAAACCCAAAATGAGTTCTCCGACATTACCTACGGATTAAAGACACCTCCTTATTTCTCTTTACTGCACCTTTAAAAGTTGGGTTAAACCATTCAAATTTAAGTCACTGAACTTAAGACGTAACTACATAAAAGAACAATGCCCCAAACCAGCTATGCGTATCAGGCCTTTATGGCTAAAAAAATCAATGTATGGATTTAAAAAGAGAGAATTATAAAAAGTCTTAGACCAGAAAAATGGCACACGATTACGAAATGTCTGTGGCACGAACGCTCTCCCTTTCATCAACAGCTATTGACCATTACCATTATGAATTCCCGACCTAATTGAATGGTCAGCAAAGTGGTCAGTGGGCCACACGAATCTCTTTCCCAGACCACGCTGAGCGTCACGAACAGAGCGGAAACATCAAACAACACCTGGGCAACCTGTCCGCGTGTGTGGTGAGGGCGTAAATCTTCAAACATTCGAGAATTCAAAGGGAAAGAAAAGAGAAACTCCGAGCGAGGCCTTGACTACTCGGCAGTTTACGCCGTCTTGATGCACGTTTTAACGGCTAGTTGCAGCCGGTTTTAATATGTCACGTTCGTGCTGCGTCGGAATGTTATTTACTTGGGTCCAGTCGCAAAGTGTGGGATGTGTTGTTATGCAAGTGTGGGCGGCCGTCTCGGAGTGTGATCAATGCTGCGATTCGTTCAGAGTTGAAAGAGACTTTCAAGACTGTGGGCAGATTTTGCTCAGACATTGGTACGAGCCTTACTGGAATTCCACTCACTTTTCCGTGCGTGCGTTTGAATCTTAATACAGTAAACCCAATAGGTGTTCCAAGCATTGAAACTTCCACTTGCTCCCCGCCGCTTAAATTTCTATCTAGGCACACCACTTTCAAATTAATCTCTTTTTATTGATGACCTTGTTATTTAAATGGATTAGTAAATTTGTACTGAAGTGCATTCTCATCTTTCTGTGCATGAAGGCGTCAGGTGGTTCATTCTCAAATATCAGCCATGACATATTTACATAATGGGTCAAGGCCCCTTTAATGGTAGTCACAGATAAGTTACTAATGAAGTGTTTGGTCATTCACGAAGAGGGTTCTGAATGTTTGAAATCCACAAAGAATTAATCTAAACATGAACAGCACCATCCTTTGCTGTTTCGATCTTTTCTTTTTTCCTGTGTCTGCTTTGCTGATTGACTCTGCTGTACCAAGGTTGATGTCATAGCTTTCTTGACCACGCAACTCTATGCTCAGGATTATCCTCCTTGGCTAAAAGCACTCACTCAGAAAATTTATGATAGCTCTATGAAGCACAGAATCCTTAATTTCGGGGTGCATGAATGCACAGAAGCTGAACTTTCTTCCTCACCAGTGAAAATGCACTACATGTAGTCGCCAGCCTAGATTTTTTTAGCTATTCTAAACAGAGATTCTTTGGTTAATAGGGTAATCAAAGCTATATTGGACCCCGTTCCGTACCATTACATGTCGTTTCGTTCTGTTCGGGTCTGCCCTATCCTGCCGTTTGCAGTACTTTCCTTGTATAATTTTTTTCCCTTCTATATCCCTTCTCTGGGATGTTCTCCTCGGCTTTGCGCAGGTTGCTCTGATGTTTACTGTTCATTTCGGCCCTTCCTACTTCTTCTCCGCCCCGCCCCCCACTCGGCTTAGCTCTGCTCGATTTATACCCTACTTTATGCCTCAGCTCGCCAAGTCACATTGTTTTTTTTTAACATTGCAGAGGCAGAGGGCTGGAAACTTGAGAAAACACCTCAGTCCCCCCACCCCCCAAAAACAGGAAAATCTGCGCTCTTGTCTTAATTCAAGCACCATAATTTAGAATGATGTTGAATATGACATTAATGATGAAAAGTGTTGGGTAAAGTTGCCTTTGATAGCAAATGCAGCCTAGCCATATTTGATAAAATATGGAACCTTTGAAGTTTCCCTTTGTCGGTGTCTGGCCCTCCACTTGCCATTTATTGCCTCAAAATCTCCTTACCTTTTTCCTCAGCACCAGTAGGCAAACACGAATCATGAAAGTCGTCACTTTGCTGTTTCCAATATCAGTGGATCATCGGCCAAGTCCCATTCATTTCCACCGAGTATACAGTATCCCAAGCACTGTAAAATAACACTAAATTGAAGAATAAACACTTCTCAAAGCATTGAGAGCAAAGCAAAATATGAAAGCGAGTGGTGCTAACACGGGGTTTCAATCTATTCTGTATAGCGACTGGCCCTTTTTACGAGAGGCATGTGGCGGTGCCCGGCTGAAACACTACCGTGTTGAGTGTCACAGGGACCCGTCGTAAACACGGCAATGAGCCCGCTTGCCCGTGGTATACGAGCCATAATATTGCGCCATCGTTTCGGTTAAGAGGGCGATTTTTGCGGCCATTCCCCCAACGTGCACTCTTGTCTTGTTAGTGGTTTGAATACACCTACTTAGTCGCATTTTCCGTTCTTAGAACGTGAAAAAATGACTCTTTGTAAAGCTCATATTTCTCATTGGAGCTCAATTTATTTGGACATGAATAACTATACCACCGCTAAACTTCTCCAATGGAGAGTGGATTGCATGTTAACAGGGGTCAGCCTTGTCGTGAGTGCTGTCAACTGAGGTTTAAAATTGAAAACCACTTATTGCTCCAAAGATTTAACATGAAATCCGAAACCGTGATGCAAGTAATTTTTCTCAGCCTGATTTACTTTAAATTACTCCAACTCCAAGACTAAAGCTGTTTCTTGCGGCATTAGCCTACAGCGCTTCTTTGTATTTTTGATTCAATGATTCGGTGGGCTGAAATATCCTAGAAGTGGACGCATACTATCTCGATGTCTAAAATACAGTCAAATTATTGAGGTTTAGATTCGGCAACAGTGGTAGAACAGCTAAGTTATACAGTTAGTCTGACGGGTCCAATCGGAGTTTTACCGGCTTGTAAGTAAAAGTGAACCATATCGAGTCCTTTGCTCATTTCAATATGTAAATGAGGCAGGTGATGTCCGTGTCGCAGCTCAGGCTGCGCCGTTTACGGGGCACGGTGTCGTTTGCACTTTGTGTCCGTCCACAAGACTATAAAGTTGCGCAAAACGATGGCCGTTAACCGCTCGTCGACACCTTGACAATATGCTTGGTTGCCAAAGACTACTGCCGGACAACCTAGCGTTGAAACCTAGGGACCATTAGCCCGTGTTAAATGGAGCTAAGTATGACCTGATTTGAGTAAAAAAGAACAAAAAATAGTCTTGACCAGTTAATGAACCAGCAGTGTTTTTTGACATTTGAGTTCGAGTCTTATTTAATCTCATGTAAGTTGTGTGCCCCGAAAGACGTGCCCAACTTCCACAACTTCGAGGTTAAGTCCTTGTTCGGTTGGCCTTTACTCACTTGCTTCTACAGCTCGCTTCTTTCCACATGTTTTATGATCTATTTTGCAACTCTTCGACGAGGACGACACCATCAAGCGATTTAGCCATGGAGAACGGCCCGCAGGCATTCGGCGGCAAACCGTGCGCACTGGCCACGCCAACCGGCTCAGCCAGCTACTCCACCACTCGGGCAGCTGCCGGCAGCGGGTTCATGCAGGTACCAGGGCCGGCGGTGGACCGCGGGCCGTCGACCCCAACCTCCCACCTCCACCATCCGCCGGCCCCAGGGCCAGGAGGCTTCGCCTACGTCAACACTCGCGCCGACTGTCGGTTCGTCCAGCCGGGGGCTGCTTCGGCGCCGTCCACCTACGACGAACAGTACAAAAGTTACCGGTCGGCGTCAGCGCTCTCCTTTAACAGCATGGAGCTGTCGGCGGGACACGAAGCGGGTCATCATCGGATGGACTTTGGGGGGCCTATGAGGTATTCAGGCTCCATGGGCGGTGCAACTGCAGCAGCTGTCATGTATGGCGCTGCAGCGAGCAATCACCAGGCTACACAACAGCATCTCTCGTGTCTCAACTATCCAAGCTGTGCTAATCCTACGGGCTATCCCTTTGGTATCTCTGGTAAGCATTCATGCACACATGAATTGTTATTATTTCGTATTATTTCCTAATGCATTACAGTACTAGTCAATATTTTGAACTGTTTCTCCATATATGAGTAAAGAAACTGATGTCTTGAAGGTTGAATAATACGTTTTCTAAATCTCAGAAATAGGCCATTTCCACCACTAAAGACAAATTATTTTAATATGTTTTCGATACCTGGGTAAAATTTTCTTCTTTAAAATCAAGAACAGATATACCAGCTCAGAGCAACGAACGATATTAATTTAGCTTTGACTTTGAGGAGATGTTAATTTTTCATGGTTTTGCATCTACAACGGCGTATATCCTCGGTGCCTTCTCAGTGCGGTCCACAAGTATAAAAAAAAAGGAAATTACAAGCTTGCCTGAGTGGGATTCGAACCTACAACTTCTTCGATACTAGTGCAGAAGACGTCTAGCCCACTCAACCTCATTTGCCACGATGGGGTGGCCGGTTTAAATCCCATACAACAGTAGCACTGACGCACATCAATTTTGCCAACTTCATTTTAAAGAATCGTTTTCCCGGTCGTGATCGCTTATTCTGCAACGACGTTAGTACAACAACAGGTCTATTTCTGAAGGGAAAAATAAAGTAATTTTCAAGCTTGAGCTGTAAAAACATTTGTCCTTCAAGAAAGGGATGTAAACACTACTTAAAAGTTTAATCAAGCTCATTCAAGGTCATTGTAGCACTGGCGAAGTTATACATCAAGTTTCCACACCAAAGTATATTGATCGCGCAAGTTTCGGACAAATGCTTTGTGAAAACAGCACAAGTGACAATGAGTCTTGAATGGAACAAAGCTCTATTTTTCACGTGTCACTGCATGTTTTCATCGTTTCATAGTTAAACTTATAATTCTATTCAGGAACAGAAAGGATTAGCAGACGGAGTGGAAAGCAACAATCCCAAAGAGACACCAGTTACCACTCCGTGATATGCGTATTTTGTTATCTGTCTAGTGATCAATTTGCTCTCAAATAGGCCTAAGGGATGCTAAATGTGCTCACCCAGTTAAGCCTATGAGATCAGGGGCTGCATTACAGAATATGAGTTAAAAAGAAGAAAAAGGGGGCCGAACAAGAAAAAACAAACCCATCCCAAATGATGACTGAATCAATTTACTACATTGAATGATTCAGGGCTTCTGGGATGATTTAGAATAAAGGCTATTAAGGACTGGGCCTAAAACATGGTTAGTTCATAGCTAATGCATATGTAAATAGAGATGAAAGCGACAGGTGTATTTTCTGTCTTTGAGAAAACTCAGCAATGTGGGTGGATGACGTGGTTTGTGTGTTGTGTGACTGCATGAACTAATTTTAAAGCTATCGCAGATTCAGCAGGGTAGGATTTGTTGCGGGAGTAATGAATTCAGTTTTGAGATTTGTTTAAGGACAACGGCTTGATTTGGTCCTTGTATACTAATTACCAGTCTGTGATTTCAAAGAAAAAAAAAGCTATTCAAATACACGACAACCAGTTCAACTGTTACAGGCAGACACAGATCACAGTGAACTAAAGTTGTGAGAGTTCTTTAAAGTTAGTTTTATTAAACCTTCTAATAACAACATGCAGACGTTAAGAAAACATTTTTACTCAATTTGTAAACGGAAAGCAAGGTCTCGTGACTGTTCACCTCTTCCTTATTATCAAATAGTACTTGATTTAGCTATAGTCTGGTCATTGTGATGTTTTCTGAGGTACAATTCACGGAGTTCAAACAATAATCACCCTTCCTGTTCAGGCACGTACTAAGGCCCATTTCTAAAGTTCTTGCAAAACGTTGGCCGAAATAATGCACCGCCGTACACTTATGCCGAAGGTTCGTCAAAGTTTATCCAAAATGAACAAGCGCGGTATTTTCACACTAGTTTTCAAGTACATGTATACTAACATCCAATATTTTTGTCAACTTCTTTTTTCCGTGGTGCATCCGAGATCAATTGACGAAAATGGTCTCCGCGTTAAACAAAACTCCAGGAAAGATTGGCCAAGGGAAGGATCTCCCATGCATGGAAAACGAAACGGAAGCAACCGAGAAGGAATACATTTAGTAACAAAGCACCAGAAACAATGCCAAAGGTTGAAACCAATGATATAATTATGGGCAACCTGAGTGGGAAACGGGATTGGACAGGTGGTCAAAGTTCAATCTCGATGTCATACTTTTATTTCCGTCTAACAAGAACTTCATGGTGCCGCGTTTGCGACCCAAACCAAAATTGTAAAACAAATTTAAAAGTTTGAGAAAGATCTTAGAATGTTTCAATTTTCACTAAACAGACTAAACAGGATATCAGTATAGGTGACCGCTAACATGCTTGTGCGGTATCAATTACACATTTTTTTCTTTTGAAATTTTAAAACTGACCAAAACTGTAACTGTAACTCGATCATAATTTAACTCCGACACTTCAAAGTGCAAACATTTACAGAAATTGACGATGCCTTTGAAAAAGATTGACAACTGGAAAAAAGGCAGTCAAGAGTTATTATTTACATTCATTGGGTTTATATTTACTCTTGTTTAACTTGAGCACTTCCTCATTTCAACTTTACAGAGAGAGATTTATAATTCCCCTATCGACCACTTTCCTTTCAATCTCATTTATGACTGCTCACACATTTTGGTCTAGCACAGTACTAACTTCAACATGTTGCAGAAGAAACTCCTGAGGAGCCGTTTTCTGAATTCTTGACCAAACACAAAGCTTGTGGCAACATCTAATTACTAATACTAATTGCTAATCAGAAAATGTGTACCCTGATGTATTGTGTAATGGTAAAATTCCAGTGCATGCCGACCTTTTCGGTTCGAGGACTTTTTAGTGATATGTTTTTGGTTGATTTAGATTTTGACATGTTTGTTTATTCATTGTTTTGTGTTTGTTGGTTTATTTTTTAAGAGCCTTCTGTTTACACCATAATACAAACAGCCTTTGAACTCACGCCATCTGATGAGAAGATCTTTGTACCAACAAATACGAAGGGTTGTGGTGAAAAGTTAAAGGGGCTGAAATCATGATGTACTTAGCGTTGCAACACAAGTGATAAAAATGACTTTGGAAGCTTATAGTTTCAGGAATACAATCTAATGACATAAAAGTAAACCAACTTGTCATCACGATTCCAAGTATTGTCATCTTTTATCTAGGGGAACAAATCGGCAGTATTTCCGAATATATGTTTTCTAGAAACTGCACCAACTTTCGGTGATGTTTTTCATCTTTTACTCTTACATATCAAAAGACAATGAAACAAAACAGGCGCAATAAAAAGTTTTTAAAACATGCCCCTCTCCCGAGGAATACAGCTACCAGAATATTTGAGTAAGTTAGAAAATTTGAATAAATATGAATTATCCTTGAAAGAATCACCAATTCTGGCAATGCAGATGGGCCAAATATAGAGCCTACATTCCGTACCGATTCAGGTACAATGGAAACTAATACATTCATTTTTCTAACTGTTCATTACAATGAGATTTAAAGCAATAATTTGATCCAGCCGGAGGTTACAACTTGCACGGAGTGAAAAGTGACTCCCGGCTCCTAGTGTTCATGCCAGACCGTTGTGACGGTGCAGTGGTATTGTTTTTATAGATTATAAAAATGACACATTATGCCAATGTAATGTTTCTGAAATACAATATCGACAATTTACATTGTCCGTGATGATTATTATATAACTACAGGGCTAGTAACTCAAAAATCGAGTGACGTTTTAATGGAACTCAACGTCCTTGTGAAATTGCCCATTCTTCCAGCAACCGTCGTGGCAAGTGAATTGGTTTAGCACATGTCGCCTTCTTGTCACGCGCACTGAACGTTTCTTATTGAGGGATTTCATACTGTGGCGTACCAGTAACTAGGGTGGAATTTCTGGGGGGGGGGAAACCTGGAGGTGGAATATCGTGTCAAGGCACTGAAAGAAAATTAAATTTGGCTTGTATCTCGGTTGTGTACGTTTCGAGATCATGGGGGGGGGGCTACAGGGACACGTACTTCAGTCGGCGGCAGGACCTGTTTCCCCGTATAGTTACACCAATGACTTTATGTGTAATTTGAATGATTGTTTTAGACAGGCGTAAGTTCAATTCTACTTAATCATTGCACTTGTTCAATGCTACCTTTCTACTTACAGACGAATAATATTAACATAGGACCTTCCACATTCAAAATGTCGAGGCTGATGGAAAAAGATGGGTGGATCCGCCCCGAAATTTTCTCCGAGGTCTTCACGATACATTTCTGTGTCGATCGCACCTTCAACCAATTAAGCACTCATGTCTTAGTATCATGTTGACGCCATTTCAATGACAATGGGACTTAGTCCCTGCCAATTTCTTTAAGAGACAGATCAAGCAAAAGATGTTAACTGTTGCCAGTGACATGTTCAAATGGGACCTGGCTGACTCTCGTGAGACCGTCAAATCAAGAATATGGTCATCATAACAACAAAACTTGTGACAAACTGATCTAAAAATTCGCATATGAACTTATAGTGAATGTCTTTATTTGCACATACCAAATTTCATAAAGATCAGATGTGACATTGCCCGAAACAAACCGGCTTTTTGGGAGTTAAAATGAAAAATCTGTGCAACTACTGAAAATTATAGCCATGTGAGTTCAGAACACCAAAGAAAAACTGGTTAAAATTTCACAATCGTGGTCATTATTCTATCGTTGCTTTATAAGTGCCTACTTTGACGTAAACATTCTGAGGACAGTAATAATAAAAGTTGCTCATACCGCTCATTTTTGCGAAAATTTCGTTGCTGAAACTTGGGCAAATGGCTTCGAATGGCTTTTTAAACTTGCCTTTACGTGACTGTCACTGTCAAGTGTTAGAGTGCGCTGAACTAAACGGCCCACTGACGTCGTCTGGTGATAGCCGTTTGTCTGGAAAAGAAATCAGAACAGTGATAATATGACCGGTCTTATTACATCCATGTCTATAATATTACTTGGAATACGACCTTTGGGCTGACCTACAGATGAACTTGGCGCGTGGGTTCGCTAGTGCACAACAACGTGGACACAAACAGGCTCATCAAGATTTACGAAAAAAAAGAAGAGATGAAATGATTTTAAAAGCATTTCTTAAAACAACAGAGAGAAATATACATGCCTGAAGAACAGTAATCGGAAACTAGGTAGACTTATTTTCTAGACCACTATTAAAGTAAATTGGTTGCTGTATTTGTCCTCAGGCCGTTTTGGGCATTTGTTTAACCGATTATTCTGATTTTAACGAAATCGCTGTTTGTCAGAAAGAACCGTCTAGAAACAAATAAACCGAGGTGAACCGAACCAGTTCGTAAAACTTTTTGGGGGAAGGAAAACAAATTTGATAAAAGTATACTTGAAAGCGTTCATTTTAAATCTCCATATCTTTTTGAATTTGGTGTCATTTGGTGTAAGAAGAATCTTTCCTTGAGGTTTGAATTGTTTCAATGGAAATATATTTCCAAGACGTTTTTATTAGCCTTGAATCTTATTTGAATTCACAGCTATTTTCAGATTCATTCATTTCCAATTTCCAAGTGATAAATTTCGATTTCATACTTCGAACGCATACAAATCCGTTCAAGCAAATACGTTTGAAGTTACTATAGTCTTAATGAAATCCATAACCTTAGTTTCAGAAATTCCCACAATCCATAAAAAACATGTTTATCATAATAATACAATGAATACTTCTGCATGGTATATGAACAAAAAAAGAGATCCCCAAGGAGCGCCAAGGTGTTTATTCCAATCTCGTTGCTATGATGCGATCGTCCCCCCAGCTTTTCAGTTGTTCCCGCGTGTTTGCAGGTCGATCGTCGGCAACTGTTCCCAAGGACTTGCACCACCAAACAACCTAAACGGCACGTTCATGTAAATTGGGTTATGTAATGTTGTTTTGTTCCTGTCGTTATTCGGTGTCTATTAATAAACACAAAACAGTGATTTATCACAATTTAGAAACCAGTTACTGAGCCGTTCGAAGAATTGGCATGGGGGGTTGAATAATTTGACGGACAGCTGAAAATATTTCCGTGTGCATCCTGGCCCAGTAGAGAGACAGAAAATGGAAAATTGAAGGTATATCCTTGGCATTAACAATAGACTGTTGGAGTGCCTCTCTTTACATCGAAATTAAAGGCGATTTACAGAAACAACTGAACTATAAAATGCCAGTTTCTTTCATAATAATCTGTGTATTTCGAAGAGGATTTTCCCTTCTTCGCCATCAAACATAGAAAGTATTTGAACAGGGATGTAGCGAAAGTTTAAACCACAGGACTGAATGTTTCAAAGAACAAAAACAGTCAACAAAATGTAAAACTTGAAACACAACAACAAATGGAAACCGAGTTGAACCATTTATTTGAAATCATTTTGATTTGAAACAGACAATCTCGGCATAGGATCAATATTAACCGAATGTTTCCTTTTCTGGATGAGAGCAGTGAATAGTTTCGGCCAAATTTCAAGTCACATAAAACAATTTTGGGGTCCTCGTTAAATTCCTGGCGTGGCAGAGAAAAGAGGCATGGACGTCTAGCGGGCCGAAGGCTTAAGAAGGCCGTGGCGATACTTTAAATGCAGCGTCCTGGCATCCTGCCAAACTTTCCCAAACCACTGTTTGTCAGAAGGACGCCATCTATGGTATCTTTGACCTATTATCTTCAGCTGTTGGTGAGAGTTGTCATCAGTGAAGGATATGTCTCGTTATCATTGACATCTTAAGTGCACATGACGGAACAAGCTCAGCCTGCAAGTCGAAAAGAGTCTTCGTCTTAATATGGACTTTGCTTGGAAGAAACAGCCAGCACAAAATCGATAAAATCTTGCATCGGGACAACTGATGAAATTATTGAGTAATTACTACTCCAGGACATTGATACTTTTAAATGTCTTGGCTTAAATTCTTTTGGGTCGACCCTATGTGAGACACTCCATCTTCTCATCCTAACCTGATACCAATTTGTTTCTGGAGGATTACATTCTAAAGGAGTTACTCCAAAATACGTTTCACAAACCTCTGTAAAAATTAAATCCGTCAAGAACAACAATTTGTCTCTATCGTCAAAGATGCGCATTTTTTTTAATCTTTCAAGGAAACTCGATTTCGCCAGAGTATACTTCCATTGACAAAAGAAACCAAAGAGACGTAGAGTACACAATTTAATGTTGAAGACTTGTAGTGACAATGGACATGTGAGGGTTGGTTCCAAAGGCCAAGATCTGTTTCGATTGTGGAATAATGAAGAGGACAATTCCGAAAGTACTTGGACGCCCTCATTCGGGCCATCTGATGTTTAGGGAACAAAATCAATCTCCATCTTTATGGGGGGGGGTGGAAAAGACTTTATTTTTTCCAGAGAGCTGTTGCTCAGGGGTAAATTTTGATCGGTTGTGCGAGTGGGGATATGGCAAGTCGCTTGAAGCCGGGCTATTTTCGAGAGCTTCTGCGCAGAAGGATCAGCAGACATCAAACTTGTTGGCACAGGATACATAAAAAGTGTTACAACGACAGCGAACATCCACGAGCCAAGCTTGTGTCATCTGAAACAACTGTATGTCCGTACCGGACATGCTCTGAAAAAAGCTAGCGTTGCAAGAATCACTCCTTAAAACCATCCGGTTGTCTGTGATCTGTCCGTCCAACTTAAGGGGTCAACTAAGGGTCTTCTTGGGGGTGGGGGTACTTCGGGGAGATTTTTTAGGTGGAAAATGGAAATTGGGCATTTCCACGGCGTCGTCGTAAATGCATCAGTCGAGTTGCTCGTGCTTGGGCGATCCCACTTAACGAGGTACCCGGTTGACAGCAAAATGACGGGTGGTCGATTGCTGTGAATTTCACAGGGTGTTCTCAATCGCAGAATGTTTCAGTTGAGCTGTTTCCTTGATCTAGATTGATATCAGTGCGAAGACAAGCGGATTAAAAAGGTCCAAAATATTTCTAAGAACAGGAATGTAAAGAGTTCAAAGACATTTGCCTTTCCACGAAAAAGGTTTAAGTGATTGTACATGTACTTTTTAATGTGAGAATTAGTTTGCCTTTCAATACACCCGTACCAAGAACCGCTCAAGGTTCATTTCTCAGAGATTTTTATTGTAGCTACAGTATTTTGCATTGAGCATATGTTGGTATACAACATTTTTGTCCATTTAAGCTTCGTTTAATCCTGTCAACTTCATACATTTACTGTTGAATAAATTTGAAAACATAGGCCTACTGTATACCATTTCCCTTGCAACAAATAACCAACGAAAAATCAACTCAGTTTTTTCACTCAGTTTCCGGCACGGTGTTTTGTCCAATTTTAGTTACAGCATTGTTTAATTTTAAGATTCTTGAAAAAAGGGTCTGCAAAACCTGGCGGTCCCAACTACACGCTCGGTACAAATGTAAAAAAATGAAATGTTTTATCACAAGCGTAGTTTACGCCGTTGTGTAATCAATGACTTTAGCGTGCAGTCAGAGGCAGGTGATTAATCTGCATTGCCGCGTTTCCCTCCCCCTGGTAAGTGCTCATTATTTCTCGTGTCGTACTTTTCACCGTGTAGGAACGGAAGGCCCGCCACCCGGCTGGATGTTCACGCTAGCCGCCCTCCCCAGGCGCACCAAGCGTCGCCCCTACTCCAAGATGACCATTTTCGAGCTGGAGAAGGAGTTCCAGGCTCACCAATACCTGACCAGGGACAGGAGAGCTAGACTAGCCCAGTCCCTCAGCTTGACCGAGCGCCAGGTCAAGATCTGGTTTCAGAACCGCCGGATGAAACAGAAGAAGGTGAACGAGAAGGAGAAAAGCAAGGGGTCCGGGAAAGCCGAGAGGAAAAACGATTAAGGAAATGACGTCAGAATGAGGTCATGCGTCACGTGGCGTCCTGTCTGAAACCACTTCTCAGTCGCTTTCTGATGGCTTGTTCTTATGTTCTTCCCACGAGCACCATTTCGTGCTCATTCTGAATGAGCCAGTCTACTCTCTAGGCGGTTCGTCCCTTAAGAGGGTACAGTGTTTGCATTCTAACCTCTTATAATAATAATACGAGACTATCTATGATGTGTTCCGTAGCAACCCGTACGTGTGCGTTTCATCGGCGCTTGCGTACCTATTTATTTCTTGCCGGAATATAAAAAGGAAATCAAGCAGGAATTGCCTAAAAGTGCCGATATATAAATGGCATAGACCAACAATAATAACCGTGAAAGTATTTAATCTATCAGTATGGCGTTTAAAACCAAGTTATTCAAGATTTGGTACACGTTATAAAGATTGGGTTATGAAAGATGAGTACAATTGGATTCCACAACTGATGGTGAATTTATTTGGACGAATTTATGCAGTAGTTGTGAGCTACTTGATCAGACTTGTGGTTTTTAAACCAACGGGATTGCAAACCAAAGCTGCTAAGTGTTTTACTGTGTAGGTTAGGTACGGCGTGGTTTGGTATAGGATAGATGGGTAACCCCTGGCACGTCAAATAAAACGTAATCTGGGTCAGATTAACTCGACCAAAGATTTTTCCATAGCAATCAGCGGTTTCTAAATTTATTCACTTGAAGTTGACTCTTAATTGAGTAATGAAAGTGAGCTCCATGAATGAAAAGTGTTGATGTTTAGGAGTGTGAAGGTACAAATCCTAAACTTTGCATTAATTTTTGATAACTGACACAAGTCTAAACCAGTCTGTCATAATAATGGCTTGGACTGTTGCCAACAATCAAACCGAGGTTTTATATCAAGTGACCCATGACGTGACCCCTGCATGTGATCTCTCCCACTGTCACATTTGCAGTATCTTGACAGAACTGCAGATTCTTCTTCAATTCCGAGAGTCTAAAAATATTACCAGATATTATCATATATAACGGTCCTATGCATGCAAGTAAACGACTCTGAGTCCAGCAATTGTCTAATATTTTGTCAAACATTTTAACTTATCAACATAATCATATACGCTGACTGAACCTTTTGAAGTCACACGTGTTTTGAAAAATATTCGAATAGTCCTTAGCCATTTCACAAGTCCATGATATTTTTCCATGAACAAGAAAAGAGGCCTCCTGTCTTGCTTTAGTAAATAAAAACTCCAACGTTTACTTCAGACTTGGCAGTGTTGCTTTTAGGTAATTTTCTCGTAAAACCAGTCGAAATTAAGTGGTGTTGCACGATGACACTGAATGAAAATTCCCCACACCTTGTTGTTTAGCTTGAAAGACACCGTAAGGTCAGGACCACAGCGGGCGTCCTCAGACGTCTGGGACAGAGCCGCGCTTAGAGCTGTGACACTTCAGATTGAAAGCAATTTTTGTTCCAAAGTTCTCGGTGCAGAGAAAATGAAAATATCGCAACTTTCACAATCCTCAAATCTATTAACAAAAGCCCTGCAGTATGAGTTCAAGTCTCCAGAGCTCGGTATGAGCGGTGCGGGGCTTCAAACAGATCTTCACAATGAAAATAAATCCCAACATTTCTACCCACATTATTGAGATGCAACACCGGAGAACTAGTAAGTAACTAACAAGTAACTTCAAAGGTTATTTCCAAACAAGTGCATATAAAAACAAACAATGAAAAGGAGTGGGTAGCGCATGTTTTCTATTTCTATTAGGTCAAATGGGCTCGATGGTTAAACTGCTATCAACTTGTTGATTACAGAAGCATCGATGACGAACAAACGGAACCCTTTCTATTCTTCATAATAACATATTCTCACTAGATGAAATCAAGGCCGGTCGAGGTTTATTTACAGTCGAACTGCCTTCAACAAACACTCCCCCATAACAGGCTCCATGGTAGCATTCCGCGGTATCATCCCTCGCACACGCCTGATCTGTCTCTCACAGGGCGCAGCCGATGACGGTCACAGACAGGTATAATCTGGCTCCTGGCCGGCACTGTCTCGCGGGGCTTTTTGATCTTGCCGTTTATGGGGCGGGTAAAGATCGTATAATTCAAGGGGACAGGCTGAGCAGTGTTGTGTGGTGTGGTCGAGACCAGGGTGGAAAAAAAATGTGTCGAAAGGTCATGGGAGGGGCGGAAATAAGAATAACCAGACACGGGTGTTACTTAAACCTCCTTCTAAGTAATACTTTTTAACTCAATATTATGCAGACTCCATAAAGACTAATGAAAGCCATGTTTGATTCAATATTTCGTTCTGAATAAAGAACGAAATATTGAATCAAACATGGCTTTCATTAGTCTTTATGGAGTCTGCATAATATTGAGTTGTCTGAATATTATCAGTGGATCACCTACTAATACTTTTTAATGTCTTATTTTTCGTGTTTCAGTCATCTCCACCCACAAGTACAAAATTTCCTGCAAATTGCAAAAGCAGGATAAACAACATAAATCAGTTAAATTCTGTTAATAAAAATATCTCTGTAACATTATAAATACTAGGACACAACAGTTGATTAATTAAAACTTATATCGGTTCTTAAAGTCTGATCCTACCACAAGTGCACAAGCATACAGGATTAAGTCAGTGTCAGTGTCGGTGGCCTATTAAGTGATATTAACATATGACCTGGTGACGTAATGACAGAATATTTGGCTGTCCTGCGATATTTTTAAAAATTGGCATAGTTTTAAAAATGGGTTTTGGTGTATTCAAACGCGAGCTATAATATTCTTCGAGGGGGTGTCACGTGATAATATTCTTCATGGGGGTGTCACGTGTTATCATATACATCTCGTCAAACCTGGGAACTTTGATAGGCTCAAAGACCAACCGTTTGTTTTCTCTGTGATTTTTGGGTCTTTGTTCATTGAGGGACTTGTTAAAGTGATACATTGAGCTTGGCTGGCGATTGCATTTCTCTAACCAATTTAAAACATCTGTTCAAGTTTTCTATATTTCCCCTCAATATTGGGTATATCGTAAAAAGGGAAATCGGGAATGGAGCCCACTGAATACGACGATATATGCATTGGCTCTATGACCGCAATCGTGGAGTGCACTATTTTGAAATTTAGCCGGCTTTTAAATTGATTCCATCACCCAGCATATCCGTCGCTTGAGTATATGCAGTAAAAGAATCGAAAAGTTTTTTTTTAAAGTTGTAATATTCAGTTCTGAAGTCAAAGTCATGCATAACCGGGACCCGAATTTATAACAGCATTTCGCAGTCGCTGAATCACACGGTTTGTGTTTATTTCACAAGTGGACGAAAATTTACATCCATATGTGAAGTTTCTTTTAGATAAACAGTGGTGTACCGGAAGGTAGCGTCATAATTTATCATCTCACACCTCATTTCAACTATACACCATTAATCATTGTTCCCTCGAATACATGCAATGTGGTGATACTGGCTGAAAACTCCAGGGCTCGACAATGAATTTTTTTTTCGCACAGTAAGTTCTGGCGCGCGACCAGGATGGAGGGAAAAATATCACAGAAGTTGGGGAACCGATTGTCGGAATCGAATGGCAAGCTTTATTCGCCGAGATCAAAAGATGCGGCAATCACCCTCGTAACACCTTTTGACGATCCCATAACCGTGCAACACGCGGCCATAAATTGCTTCAATTCATCAGCAGAGCGTACATCGTAAAAAATAACACAGATGCAAGATCCGCCAAAGGTTTTTTTTTTAGCGTGTTTCTGTCTTTCTTTTATATCATGGCTCGGGTCGATAACTCTGATTGCCCCAGTCAGAGCAATAATATTTTAATATTCCGTGTCCTCAGTTGACCTATGAGGGGTTAAGGCAGCATAAAACCAACTTTAATTGATAATAGTGCGGAATGATTACGCGCCATGCGAGAACTGTGACAATAAACAAACTGGAAAAAATATATGCTGATCCTTTTTCGGCGTCAACCTCTGTCTTCCATGGAGTCATAACCATCAACAAAAATGACACCTTACCTTGGAGCAGGTGAAGAGGGTTTGCCATTTGAAGAAACAGAATCTTTCTACATCCTTAACACAGCTCTGGTACTTTCATTAAGTCGTCTTCTCTCCCACAAAATAAAATCTAATGGATGTGATTAAATGTTAAATGTTATTTTATCTACAACAATGTACTGATTTTCTAGTTTAGGTACGAGTTTGACGCAATTTCCCTTGAGAATTTTGTCTGTTTGGGATTCCTGCGATTAAAACTCAGCTCGTTTATAACCGAAGGCAAAAAGAGAATAAAGTAAGAAATAAACTGACAAGAAAATTAAAAAGATGCATACACCTGTCCTCATAAGTTGTTTTGCGCCCCTTTTAAGCCATATGATTAATGGGGCACTTTATTAAACTGGACAATTATTGATTAAATTCATATTGCTTAATTGAAGAACTGATTTGTTCATTTCGATCGAAAGGTGGTGGGCTTTCAGAATATATGTCAACTTGGGAGTCTTCACCCAAAACACAATTCCAGATCTGGACAAGTACAGCAGAAGGGCGTGAAGTTGAAAATTAACAATAAAAAGAAAATGCACTGTTTGTCGTACAGATTGGACTTCTGAATTAACAGCAACACCCGATACTCGAAGCGAGCGTAAATTGGCTGCGAGTGGAACAGACTCCAAGGGGAGCGATGAGCGTCGGGCACCCGGCATATCCCACTCAGGACACGGTGAATTATTCGCGGAGAGTGTAATCCGACATTTATGAGGGTGACAAAAAATCTGGCCTGATGATCGGGTTGCGTGACATTTCAAAATCATTTTTTTTTCGCAGCGGGGAGCCGGAATTATATATCAAGCTTCTGGGATCCAAGAAAGTTAAAAGTCCCAAACGAAAAATAAATGTGTCGAATTTACGAGCAAGTTTCATTTTTTGTAATGACTTTCACCACCCTCGGCCCCTGCGTAATAATAGCGGGGTGCGGACT